TAATAGGTCTAATAGTTCTTGCTATGTATGGAAATTACACAATCTATTTTCAAATTTTATTTCTTTATAAAAGGATCTTTCTAAGGCAAGTAGTTATGGAGGTCTGTACTTTCTGCGCACTGCTCGCTGTTGTTCTCCAATTTATTGCTCAATAGAGGAGGACTGTTTTGACATAATAATTTGTGATGGAAATTCTGACTTTGGTTTTTAGAGTCAGCTCCTTTTGCTCCCATATTTTCTTAATTAGCGCAAATGCTAACCTAGCCTTTTCAATTCTAGCCCAGACACCCACTTCAGATCCACCATTGAATTCAATGGTGCTGCCTAAATATGTGACGCCCTCCACTTCTTCCAGTACATTTCCTACCAGAGACTATTGCTCTTCGTTGGCTGAGTTTACCTTTATGATCTTTGTATAAATAAAAGCAAGATTCATCGGCGTCCTCGATTTCTACCCTACACCTTGATGAAAATGATTTGATAATTTTGGTGATAATAGATACACTGCCTAGAGGCGCGCTACTGTTTGTACCACTCTCCCTTTCACGATACAAACTGTGCAGTTGTCCGAAAATACCGCACATCCATATAAAGAAAAGTTGACATCTGGATGAACAACCTCATCCTCCCATTTTCTACGTCACGGGAATGGGCGTAGTTAGAGCTTTTGGAGTCAGGGGACATAATTCATTTTTACGCCACGCCCTCAAGTCTTAAATTAATTATTTTCACCCATTAAATACCACCAAAGCCAATTTCGGCGCCCCCGCTAGTCCGACGCCCCGGGGCGTATGCCCCATCTACCACCCCTTAGCTAGGCCTCTGGCCACTGGCACTGCCCCCCTGCGAAACCTCAAATGCCCACCCCCCGGAAGAAAATGTCTGAAAGAAACACTGATCATATGCTTAAAACTAGCTAGCCTTTGATAGTATGATGTACTAGATACCCACTGATCATGTGCTATACTCAAACAAAGACTAATTCCCCATGCTCCAAAAAGAAATCTGCACCGAAAATGTTCACCTCTTTTTTTTGTCTAATAGTCCTGACATTATAGACTACCGGTACGTCAAAGGTCAAGGCTATTATCGCACAAGACAATGCCAAGCAACACCCTAATTATAGTTGTGGACTTTGCAATGCATGGTCAACGTGACGCTACATATTTCACCAGCACACCACTCCTCCGTTACGCTACATATTTCACCAGCACCCCACTCCTCGATACGCTACATATTTCACCAGGACCCCACTCCTCCGTTACGCTACATATTTCACCAGCACCCCACTCCTCCGTTACGCTACATATTTCACCAGCACCCCACTCCTCCGTTACGCTACATATTTCACCATCACCCCACCCCCCTCCCCGAAAGAGCATTTTTTCCCACACGGAACAAATCAAAACATGACCCGGGGGTGGGGTGGGGTGAGATTTCACTCGGGTGATGTCGGCCTTCGATTACTGCTCCACAACGCCATCTTCGTCTATAAAAATGGCGATGACGGGCACTTTTAAAATTATTTTATGAAGTACTGTATATAAATATATAAACATCTGTTAACTCCTTTGGGACGTGACTTTTTTTTTTAGACATGCGATTAGTTATTGTATACATTATACTGAATGTTTATTTATTTAGTATTACGAAACGTTTTTGTAAAATTTTGAAATTGTGAATTAGCCAGCTATTCTGAAACGATATTTTACTATTTTGGAAGTGCGATGGGAACCATGACTGCCGTACTAGTTTATATTTGTAGATATGAGGGGAGCTAATTCGTAATACTTTTGTTAAACTTTTCTTTAATTTTAGTTTTAAGGTGTAACGTCCCTTGTATCGGAACGGTAAAACAAACCCTTTTTGTTACATTTCGCTCCAAGATAATTGAATTAATCCAACTGCTGCGAGATGAGTTGGTTTCTGAGTCAACTTTCTTTTTTGAACGCACTATAATATATAGTAAAACAAAATAATGCGTTCAAAAAGAAATTAGAAGCAAAATTTTAACGTGTGAACTAAAAAAAAAGATTCGATCAAATTTCCATTCAATCAAATTTCCGTCCACAAAATTTTTTCTATGAAATTTCCACATACGCTCGGAAAGAGATGTGAAGAAACTCGACTCAGTGATCTTCTGGTAATTGCACGCCTCCAAGAAGAAGCACGAAAAAAACAAAAAAAACGTGAACACCGACGAAGTTATTGGTGATTATTGGTCATTTGAAACAAAAATGATAAATCGATGTAGCACAGTTAGTATGCATGCTATAGTGACAAAACTAGAATTGGCAAAGATTTTTCACACCAGTGGCAAGTTGCACTGTATCAAATAAAAATATCGAAACCTAATTTCTAATAATTCCTATTCTATTAAGTGACAAATTGTTGCAGACAATATATTATATGCACACATCATGCAGAAATGGCTTGCACGTGCAAACGAAAGAAACAACTCAATAAGCCGGACAAGTCTGCTCCCCCCACCCCATTTTTGTGTGTTTAAGGGGGATTGAAACAACGCCCCGGCCCCCTTTTTTTAAAACCCCATTTTGTTGGCCAGTGTAGTGTAGTGCATTGGAAAATAAATCTTACAAGGACCGCCAATGGCGCCACATACTAGGTTAGAGTTCCCACTTTTTTTTTCAGTATTTTAAAAATGAAATAAATATCAAAAAAGAAAAATCAGATTTTTAATTAATTTTTTGTTAAGAAAATGAGTACATACTTTTATTGCCTATCATTTAAATAATTTAAATAAATAATCTAAAATCTCCAAACACCCTAATTATAATTGGGGAATTTCTTGACGTCATGGTTTGTTGATAAACATTTCATCAATCGTAACATTTGTACTAAACAGGACAAACAACAGTCGTTAAAATGCTTGACAATGCAGATGAATAAAAAGTTATTTTAAAAAAGAAATAATAACTAGATTTAATGACTTAGTGCACCTCTTAAAAGCCCCCCCCCCCCCCCACCCTTTCCCCCCCCGGCTAGTACAGTGACAACCTGCCGCATCTGTTGGTCGGTGTATTTTTACATTGTCTGGACCTAAGGCATCCCCAGCAAAGTCCAGTGTGATTGACGAAGTCAATAGATAAGCTACTGTGGCCCGGGGAGGGGGGCGTGCGAGGAATGCCCAGGGGGTGGCAGCGTGCAATGCCGGCAGATCGGATCCATGATCATGGACTACTAGACTGACACACCCGAGGGTTTTAAGTGGGGCCATCCATGTGGTTGCTTTGTGCTCTGTCCCTTCAGCGCCACAAAAGGTTTTAAAAGCAATAAGGATTTAATGTACTGTCTTTATAATCTGATTCTTAAGGGTGGGGTACATGCCGAAGAATAATGCTTCATAAAGAGGGAATTGAGAATTTATAAAACAAAGCTTCAAAAAGTTCTCAGATTTAATCCAAATTACAAGTTAAGTACCCTATAGAAAACGGGTCTACAAAATCCATTTAGCTATAATCTTTGGTCACTGATACCATAAAGTAACAAAATTGAAACATACCTTCATTAGTTGAGAAAAATATCTGCTTCCCTTCATTATAATTAACCAATAAATCTGTCATAGTGTAAGAGTCCAGAACGAAAGCAAATAATATTCAGATGTTTTTATTTCAAAAGCAAATGTACTTAAACTTAAATTAATTTTTTACCACTCACACAATTCGGCAGGAATGAGGAGCTTCTGTACTTTGTTCTTGTTTTTACCAGCCGGAACTGTTTGTCGTGACTTCGTCGCAGTCTGGGGGGAAGATGAACGAGTTTCTGTTTGATTCCAGAGCAGTGCACCAGCCCATTTGTTATCTTGTACAACATGGTGAGCCTGGATAGTCGTCGTCGTTCTTCCAATGTCGACCAGCCCAGTGTTTCCAGCATGCTGCCAACACTCGAGGTGCTTCTGTAGCGGTTCATGACAAAGCGTGCTGCCCGTCGCTGGACCGCCTCCAACCTGTCGATGCTTTTCTGGGTAAATGGGTCCCAGACTGTAGAAGCATACTCTAAAATAGGTCGGACAAAGGCTTTATAGGCTTTTTCTTTCACGCTTGAGTTGCCGATCTTCAGATTGCGCCTTAGGAACCACAGGGTCTTGTTTGCCAGGTTGCACACACTGTTAATGAGCTCGTCCCAGCGGACCTCTCTTTGGATGGTAACACCCAAGTACTTAACTTGAATTGTGGCTTACAATCTGGTGCTTACTATCACATAAGTATCATGTTAATTTTATCTTGCTGCAAGGAGCAGCCAGAAAGTGAACTTTGTCAGTGCATGATAAAAAAACAAAAACACTTGTTCGTTAAAAATTCTATTTCTATTTGAGTTGCCAAAATGTAAAAAAAAAAGAAATGGGTTAATTTACAACTTTAAACAAGTTTCCGAAATGAACGAAATACGCCAAAAACAATAATGTTTTTTGTTTATTGAACAGATTTAGCTATTATCAGAAAACCATGGCATAATTAATCTAACATATCAATTGACAGGGAAATAACTAATGCCAAATCTGACAGGGAAATCAATGAATGTCAAAGTGGACATGTCAAATTATCAAGGTGAAAAATATGAAAGAACCAGTTTCTTTTAATTTAAATAAAAAAAAAAGAAAACTTTTGCAGTTAAGTTGACACCAATATTACAGTAGAAAAAAAAAAAAATTAAATTTAGACTTTCTATAATAATATTCTTAAAACGGGTTACACAAAAAAAAGACTCCAGAAGTGTAGATGAGCACTCTATGTAGCCAAGGCATTGGAATTGAATGTAAACAAATGCATTAAAAAAAATTTAATCATTATTTTCTACTTTTAGTGTGTTTAAACTTGTCTTTGATAGAGTGATTGAGTCTTTTTTAAAAAAGCTTTTAATATTTTTTATTTGCTTCTTTTTTTATATTAAAATTTGAATCTTTACATTGACAAAAGAAGTATTATTTACTTTAAAAAAAAAAATGCAGATTTCTCAGATGCAGCGAGACGATCAACACTTTTCACTTTCAGGTGACCACTGCACAAGAAAAAGATAAACTGAACAATGTTTGACGTGAGTAAAAAAAAAAAATTACAACAAACAAGATGGAAAAGCAAATAGTAAAAATTTAGGCTGCGGCTATTCGGTCCCGGGATCCAAGAGTGAGAGGTTGGGTTTATTAAAAAATATTTAAAATATTATTGTTGGGTTTGTATAACAAAATTCAGTATCAAATAAAAGATAATTGAATGGACTATATGTTTGTAAAATTCCTTCTTCAGTTTAACTAAAATAAACTACCACAAATAACATCCAAATAGCATTTAGTCTATAGGCACCCAGGCCCGAATAAACCCAACCCCTCACTCTTTTCCAGGTCCCTATAGCCACTTTGAAAAATTTAAGTCTTTAAAAATTATAGTTTTTAATTAGTGCTAAAAAAGTTCTGAATCTTTACAAAATAAAATTTTTCATTGAAGTCTAACCAATCATTGGTCTTTTCTTGAGTTTGTCCTATTCAAGAAAAGTTTCTATTTGGGTGACTTAAAGAAAAAATGTTGCCGATTGCATAAATAAATGTTGTCATTTAATTGCTACACAAAAGTATACAGGCCCCTGTGAAGAAAGACTTGGTAGTTACATTTGAATTCAAGTCACACTTATTCATCAATATTTGTATAAAATATACATCATATATTCATGCACTCATACACATTTTGATACAATGCCATTAGCTCACTGAATCGAACCATCACAATAATCTTATTTATTTATTTCAAGAGTTGACATAAAAAGAATAAATGAAGTGATTCAGAGTTTAATTATGGTGAAAATGATGTGCACAGTTGAATGACTAGTATTCAATGGGATTGATTTGTTTAAATGATCATAAAAAGTGCTCATTGAAAATTTCAGTGATTTTTGTTGAAAATCTGTTTTGTTTGTTTGGGCCATATGGAAACTGAAAAAAAAAAAAAAAAAAATTATCTGAATGTACGCACAACAAGGGATTGATTTGTTTAAATGATCATAAAAAGTGCTCATTGAAAATTTCAGTGATTTTTGTTGAAAATCTGTTTTGTTTGTTTGGGCCATATGGAAACTGAAAAAAAAAAAAAAAAAAAAATTAGCTGAATGTACGCACAACATGTATTATAATGAAGTATCACATGACTTTTCCATTAATTTAACACGTTTGCCATACTGATTTTTGTGTATTCTATTCTCCATTACCACAGCTTATTTCATTCTCTGAGCAACAAGATAATTGTAATTTTAAGGGTCTTATCTGGACTTACATTATCTAGATTAAACATAAGTCTTCTGGACCAGAAAAGAACATTCAGCAACTACCCCCCCCCCTTCCCCACGAAAAATAGCTTAAAATTCTAAATTCTAAAGGAATTATCAAAAGTTGAAGAAATAAATAGAAATGTTAAAACAAAATATGCCGTTTAAATTCAAATTTATAAACTACTATGTTTATAGGGATTTTGTATTATCCACCAAGTGTAGAGTTTAAGAGGGTTAAGTGAACTCACACTAATAGACAGAAACTCAGAACCAGGTGGAGTCAGCATCACTGGACAGTAAACCTCACACAAGGTGTACCACAGGGCATCAGGGTCAAGGTCTATGAACATTGAGAATGATTCAACCGCAGCCTGGAAACATGTTTTGTGAAACAATTATACAATTATGATCTTTAATATTACCCATGATGCACAAATAAAATTAAAGAAAAGTTGTATTAATACAATATGTGTGAGTATGACTAAATATTTTAAACATATTGGATATAAAATTTGAATGCAACGTGAATTCAAAATAATGATGCAAAGCCTTTTCAACAATAAAGCAAATACATTTATTATTCTCTTATGGGCCAAAAATGAGTGCAAAGAATGACATATTCTCCACAAATCAAGACCTCCTTTTGAAATAAATAAATAAATCATTTCCTAAATAATTAATTTAGTAGGTTGGTGGTTATAAATTGCATGGTAGTGTGCATGTCCTCTGTAGATTGCGCACCACATTTACAGATACTTACATTCTGCAGAGGCAAAGGTTGAAGGTCAGACAAATATGGAAGGCAGATGTTCACCAATGTATTCAAATCATTCCCATCTAAAGCAAGCTGGAATCCAAATAAGAAATGTTGTTAAGTGAAATAAAAATTGTTGTGATGAGGAATTATTTTAAAATATAATGGTTCACAGGAATTACAGCTGACCCAGACTACAACTATAAAAACCAATCAAAACTGTAGATCTTGAAATTCTCATTATTTAAAGTTAGAAAAAAAATATCTATTCAATGTTAAGTCTGCTCATTGCAACATTTTAAATTTCTTAAATTCTTTGGGTGCATTGTGTAAGTGAAAAGTAACTTTTGAGTAACAATTTATAACATCATAATTAACACTTTGTTTTGTAAAAAGAAATGCTAACATATTGAAGTAACTATTCACGTTTTAACCTAAGTATAATAAAAAATAACTAATTTTATTATTTTTTTTTTTCAACTTACATTTTTTGCAAGGGGTCCAAGTGTTGAGAGAACACACAACTGTAGCTTGTAGTTGGTGGTGTGAAGATAAGCAGATCTGCTCTCAGAGCTGCAATATATTTATACACATTACACAAATTGGCTTACATTTTACTTCATTTATCCACCTATCAGTTACATGGACATAAATATTTATAGTTATTTGGACATAAATAGTAAACACCATGATTGCACTTGGAAGCATCTTAAAATTAAAAAATGATAATATTTTTTTTAAAATAAAAGACTGGAACCAACAAAAAATAACATTTATGAAGGCCTGACACATTACATTGCATGTGGTGATGTGGTGGCATAACAATAAAATGCCTATGTTAATTGTACACGTTAAAAACCTTATGTTTCCTTGTTTCTCCATGTACTGGACAACACCTGGAACAACTTCCTTCATGACCCTTGACCTGATGAAATCCCCACTTAGATTGGTTAGAGCAAGTAAAGTCTGCATAGCCTAAAAAAATAAATACAACATTGGCTGGGTCCTTTGGAGTTAACTTGTCTGGGTCTCTTACAATTAATTTATATGTCCAATTCAATAATGGCATAAAACAATCACAATTTGCAACAGAAGAGTTGTAAGTCGAGGTGATTTATTAAATAGTAGTACAGTCAGGGCCATAAATTAATTGTTCACATCGGTGAATGTTTTACTTAAAATATCACTATGCTAAGAACAGTAAACCATGAGGTTGCAAGATGCACGGGTACGTACAAACAACAGGGGACAAGACAGTTCATAATGTTTCCATAAGACAGTGGCTACAAATGTCATACCTTAATGACAACAAATTTCACACCTCAGTGACAACAAGTTTCACACCTTAATGACAACAAATTGCATACCTTAATGACAGCAAATTGCATAACTTAATGACAACAAATTTAAAACCTTAATGACAGCAAATTGCATACCTTAATGACAACAAATTTCTCTTGATGATGAAACAAACAAGCCAAGCCTGGCCACAGTTGGTGGATCTGAGGCAGAAGCTCTCCTGCGAGGAAGGTAAAACACAGCTTAAAAGTCAGACAGGTTAATACCAGGAAGCTTATAAAATGACAAGACAATATATTTAGGCCGTCCTTGTTGCTCTTGTTCACATTATTTTATTTTTATTTTATTTAGGCATTTTTATATAGCGCTTATCATAAAGCTCTAAGCGCTTTACAATTATTAAAACATTAATTATAATCTTATCCTTACACTTTCCAGTTTAGTGTATGGGTGGAATATGATAATAAATTAAACAAATTTTTTTTACATGATTCATATTATTAACATTGATAAAAAATATCTAGTATCAAGTCGCCTACTCTCATAATCCATGAGATCCTGACATCCGTAGCTGATAACATCCAGTGCCAGGACTCTGAGGCTCGGCTCGTGGTATGACATCAGGTTCTTGATTCTTTTGAACACCTATGTGACAGGTGTCAAAAAGCATTAAAAAAACACAACATAATGTTTATGTATCATACAGTGTGTCACAATCTTTCTTTTTCCTTAGTAAAAAATTTCCTTTACTGTTCTTTGAGCAAGTGAAAATCCTAACTTGCTGGCCAGATCTGCCCCAAATATACTTTTTGATTTTTATCATCACAAAACTTCAAAGATCTTATTTGATGTGTAAAATTACCAAATTACCAAAGGTCTTATAAGGGCTTGTCAGCCTCTTGAAACTAAACTCCACTCAACACATTTCCTGTCTAAGTGAATCCATGTCCCAGCTTTTCTTACAATACATGGAGTTTGGGTTCCTGACAAGCAGGCTAATGATTGCTTAGGCTTGTCTTCCTTCAACAGAAGCCTGACCCCTCAGAAAACCACATGTTGCTGCATCTGAAGAGATTCTAAGTTTATTCCCTAATGTGGAAGGTGAGAAGACATGAGAGGATTTCTGTGGAACTGTGAACCGTGCACATATCTGCAGAAACCTGAAAAAATTCAATCGCCAAGCTACCTAGGCATAATTTCTACCTGAAACAAGGTCCACCCACTTTATGTCAAGGGCAAAAAATTCATTAAATCCCACTTTCCTTTCCTCCAGAGTTACCAAGTGATATCAACAGATTTTAATGCAATGAAACTCTTCACTGCTCTAATTTTGTAAATATTGTATTTATAGTTCTTATTTTCTTGGGATTTTATGATCAAATCTCTTGATTAAATCCAGGGTACGCTATAACAAAAGATATACAAGAGCTAGAATGCAGTCTCCACAGTAAGTCAATATTATTTATTTATTACTATTTTTTAACACCTTGCTAATTTGATCTCTATTTAACTCCTTGTTAATGTAACCTGTACTTTAACTCCTTGTTAAGTTAACCTGTATTTAACTCCTTAAGTTAACCTGTATTTAACTCCTTAAGTTAACCTCTATTTAACTCCTTAAGTTAACCTCTATTTAACTCCTTGTTAATCTCTATTTAACTCCTTAAGTTAACCTCTATTTAACTCCTTAAGTTAACCTCTATTTAACTCCTTAAGTTAACCTCTATTTAACTCCTTAAGTTAACCGCTATTTAACTCCTTAAGTTAACCTCTATTTAACTCCTTAAGTTAACCTCTATTTAACTCCTTAAGTTAACCTCTATTTAACTCCTTAAGTTAACCGCTATTTAACTCCTTAAGTTAACCTCTATTTTTCTCCTTAAGTTAACCTCTATTTTACTCCTTAAGTTAACCGCTATTTAACTCCTTAAGTTAACCTCTATTTAACTGCTTGCTAAGTTAACCTCTATTTACCTCTTTCACAATGACGACATGTTTTGGTGGATCTCTCTTCTTTCCTTCGTCATCCCCCTCTTTCATTTGCTCATCATCCTCCTTTTCCTGGCCGCCCCTCACCCCATCCTGTCCAGCCATAAGTCGCTTCATATCCTCCTCAATATCTTCTAAAGTTCTTTCTTTCCCATCTCTGGTTTCCTCATCATCGTTGTCACAGAAACTTTCGTCAGTGAGGTCACACTCAGCTATTTGTTTATTTTTGGCGTACTCGTTAATTTCAGCCAGGAGTTGATCAACGTCTATTTTACCAGATGGCCTTACTCTGGTTGGTTCCACTCTCTGAGACAGGAAACAAGAAGCAAACCTGAGCTTTGTGATCAACAATTAAAAAAACAACAACAATAAAACATTCACATAATTAATCAAGGCTAGTTAATTTTATTAGAGTGTTGAATAGTGCGTCAGCTGGTTGCAACTTGAATATGGGCATGACAAATACGTAAGGAAAAATTGAGATGCTTGAAATGTTGAAGGACATGCAATAGGTAGCACAGTCAGTAACATAGAGTATTATCTTGAAAACTGTGTTTTACATCCAAGCCACAGAAAGTGTCAGGACCGGTCCTTCCCACTTCCCCCCCAAAGACACTTGAAGAAACATTGTGGTGTAACCTTAGAATCTTGTGGAGGGGTAAGACTACCTTGGTTTTCTTCTCAGGGGGAAACCAGCGTCCAATGGCTTTGACAAGTTCCACCAAGACAGGCATGAAGAGGATCAAATGTTCAGTATAGTTGTCATCAAGCGTTTCTAGCATCTGGAATTATGGGATATTCAGTCAACATTAAAATGGTCTAATTATAATCCAGAGTTTCTAGCATCTAGACTTATGGGATATTCAGTCAACATTAAAATTGTGTAATGATAATTCAGAGTTTCTAGCATCTGGAATTATGGAATATTCAGTCAACATTAAAATTGTGTAATGATAATTCAGAGTTTCTAGCATCTGGAATTATGGAATATTCAGTCAACATTAAAATTGTGTAATTATAAGTCCAGAGTTTCCAGCATATGAAATTATGGGACACTCGATCATATTTAATGTGTAGTTAAATTCTGAAGTTAAAACTGTAAGACTGTGATGTTGGTGTAACCTACTTGTTCAATATTTTAGTAATGGAATAACATACTTTAGTAATAGTATGGTGAGGGATTCACAGACTTGTGTAATACTGTGTGGTGCTGGATTGACCACGTGTGTATGTTGGGGTGACCTACTTGAGCAACACTGTGGTCTATCAAGAAGAGGAGGTCCTGACTGCAGTACCGCAACATGACGCAGATAGTCTGAGGTGATCTCAGATATTGGTCAAAGTGTCGAAGACGCCTGGACACACTCCTTACCAGATAGTCCACATTACCTTGGATAAGCTGGTCCAGAGACCTGGAGGAAAAATTCCCACAGATGAAAATATTTTACTATTAGTTTAAACACCAACAATCATTGCCCTATGGCACCCCTTTCCTATGAAACAAATTATCTGTCCTCTGTGTTGTAATTGCATGTACAATGGAAATGCCACAACCTTGATAACATAAGATTTGACCAAAATCTGAGACCTGATATTGCCATTCTTATATTTTTCTGTAATTAAATATTTGATAAAGTTCATCTGGGGAAAAAAAAACTGACAGACTAAAATAAAGTGTCATTTTTAAAAGCTAATTGTAATTTTTAAAAGAAGTCAAAATAAAAAAAATAAAATGACATACTATCTTGGACTACTGTACGGGTGCTGTATTTGTCATTGAAAGTGTTAAAATGCCAGTTTGCAAATAACTATAATACATTGCATGCTTATCAATTTTATCCCATTAGTAATTCTTCTGTCCTTAATCATAGAGAAAAATGGATAAAGCATTGCAAATCATTTGATTTAAAAAATAAATTGCAAATAGTAAATGGTACAGCATGCTGATCTAAGAGTATTCAGCTATTGACAAACAAACATGTCTTGAGGAAAACACGATAGCAAATCTTTGTTTGACATAGTATTTAAAAAAAATAAATATATATGCATCCTTCGGTCTTTGCAAGATGATGGAGTAGTTATGTACACTTCAACAAATGGCTCACTGACATGGTAGTCTCGACTGCATTTCTTGCAGGATAATCTTGACTCCTGGTTAGATTTGGCCTTTTTTATCACTCTTTTTGTTGCAAGGGATTTGTTTGGCTTTTTAAGTCTTTCATACACTGCTTTTGCCAGCTTGAACGGTGCTCAGCTATGATCTCCCATTTGTCGATTTCTATGTTGCCTTCCCACATGCTCCTTTTGCAAACATATTTAAATCACAGCTGCTGCTGTCCAACAATTCTTGCCCCTTCTGCCAACTCTCCATCAACAGCTCCATTAGAATACGGCCTTCCTCCATTCTCTTTATTTGGCCTAACCAGCAAAGGCACCCAAAGCTAAGAGCGGAGATTATGCTACACATTTCTGCACATTCCAAGACTTCTGAGTTAGGCACATTGTCCTGCCATCCAATGCGTAAAGTGCAAAATAGCATTAAAAAAAATACACGCTGCAGAAATAAGGTAATTTCCTGAAATTTAAGAAGTCATACATTACGATCATTAACAAAAGCAACCTGTATCCACAAGCTAGAGCAACTTCTACCAGAGCTGAGTAAGACGTGCTGCTGATGTGGACATTCTCGTGACCCAGATTTTCCACCAATGGGTAGAGACCATTTATCAGATGAACCTGGAAGTCTCTCCCTAAGGCCTGGAGATTCAAACAAAGTCTCAGTTCTTATAAACTATTAAAGTGCTCCTCCACACATGATCAAATGCACCAAGTTAGAAAATTTGTTCATGGTAAAACAATGACAACTTACGTGCTGACTAAAACAATCATAATTAACTAGACGGTTAAAACTGAGATAATAAAGACATTAACTGTAGCGGTAACACTGCACTGACCAACATTAGCTATATCAGTAACAACACATTGACCAACATGAAATATTGCAGCTACTACACACTGACCAACATAAATAATATCACCTACTACACACTGACCACTATAAACAATTATATTAACAACAAACTGACCACCGTAACTTTTAGAATGAGCAGCACTAATGTATAAGTCTTCACTGCCCTGCCACATGATTTACAACAATTTTGACTCTGGGCTGAATTAGGCTCTCAAATTTCCCCACTTCTTCCCTTGATCTCACTTACAGTAGCAAATTTCCCCACTTCTTCCCTTGATCTCACTTACAGTAGCAAATTTCCCCACTTCTTCCCTTGATCTCACTTACAGTAGCAAATTTCCCCACTTCTTCCCTTGATCTCACTTACAGTAGCAAATTTCCCCACTTCTTCCCTTGATCTCACTTACAGTAGCAAATTTCCCCACTTCTTCCCTTGATCTCACTTACAGTAGCAAATTTCCCCACTCCTTCCATAAAAAGGCACGAGAGGAGGATGGCTCTATTTCTGTTGGCTAAACTTGGGTTCTTCCATAACTGAGATTCTGACGGTCGGGACACAACCAAAGATGTACAGGAAGTGGCCAGATGAAGGGATGACTGGTGGGATGAGTGGGTCCTGTCATTGGAGACATCCACCAGTTTGATGTTGGCAGGAGACAGATATTCCTCCAGCAAAAGTCTGAAAATGACAAAGTTTAAAATGTTTGCCTCCATTGTCAGGGATCGAAATACTATAAACCCAAAAGAGTGTTCTTTCTATAATCTGCAGTTAATGTAAAGATAATTTTATTTATGAAGCATCCACATTAGTATCAATTAAATTAACTGAATGGCATCTGAAATTGGTGCTACAGGCAGTCGTACCATGTCATTTGGCTTGCTAGTGTTCACCTTCACAAAACATCAATATCTAGCTTGTTTTTCTTAAAACAGACCAATTATTTTTATCCTCTACAATGTATGATATAGCGGATGGCAAATGAGTTAATCATAGTTGAATTTTACCATGCATAAAAAAAAGAGTGTTAATTAAACAACACCTAAAAACATAGTTTTTCGTAGAAATCCTTTTAATTATTTTTATTTTATATCAATGTCCAACCCGCTTTTACACCGCAGATTTATCTCACCAACTATTTCAGAAAAACAAAAGAAAATATTACGCACCAAATGCACTTGCCATAAATTTTTTAAATCTAAAAATAAATATCTGATGTAGTGCAGTTATCTGGAATTTTATTTGGTGAAATCAGTGGTATAAAATTTACTTCCTTTTCCCCTTAAAAAAATGATTTTTACGGGTTGGGGATGGGGTTTGGGACTGAAAATTTGATAGTGTGAGCTGTCATCAGCAACGAATCTATGTGCCAAGTTTCAGCTCGATAGGTTGATGGGAAGTCAGTCAATTAGCTGTCCAAAGATTTTCGCCCAAACACACAAAAGCAAAGTTAATATAAAGGATTTAAAAATATGTACCTCTCTAAGCATTTGTCATGATGACACAAAAAAATGTTCCAAAAATATATCCATGATAATTAAAGAATGTACCAAATGACATATCCACAATTATTAAAGAATCTACCAAATGACATATCCACAATAATTAAAAAATGTACCAAATGACATATCCATGATAATGAAACAATGTACCAAATGACATATCCATGATAATTAAACAATGTACCAAATGACATATCCACAATAATTAAACAGTGTACCAAATGACATATCCACGATAATTAAACAATGTACCAAATGAAGTCCCTGTGTAAGGATGAAAAAAGTTGTTGAAGTTTTTTAAATGACTGTAAAGATAAAGCTTACTTGATAACATCTTTCAACAATTGTTGATCATTAACCTGATGAGCTCCTTCTCCTGAGAAAGAAAACAAAACTGATCAGTTGACGTCACGCCAACTCACTCAAACCTTTATGAACGCTGAGATCGTCATGTTTTGACTTTTTTAGCCCCATGTTTATAAAACAAGATGGATTGGGAGTATCTATGACAATTCTGATACTTTCAAAATGCCTTGAAATAATTTTTTTAAAATAATAATTTAACAATGAATTTTTAGTCTCTTGACTGAATTTTTTTTTAATAGTGTCAACTTGTCACATGGCACACATCTTCATTCTTATTTAGTAACACACCAGATGCATTTTTGCCAGCTAAAAAAGAATGTACAAATATATACAACATATATACAAATGTATCCTATGAGTAGATAAATGCAGGGACTGGCTGAGAACTTGCATCAGTTTTCATTCCCTAGGCACAACTTTATTTCTCCTCAATATAAACGAATTTTCATAACAAGGCCCAGGGAAGCACCCCCCTAATGTAAGAGTTATCAATAGTTGACGGTTACCTCAAAAAACTTTATATTTTCCCCAATATTTATTTATTGCTCTGTTTCCCATTTATGGCGTAACATATTATTGATAGAGTTTTAGTCCGGATCAGCGGTGTAGCTAGGGTTAAGTGCCGCCTGGGGGCGGACAGCCACTTCCCACCACCCCCACTTACTACACCACATTAAGGCATTTTATAGACTGTGCACCCAACTGATGTTTAAGATTCCTCTAATGCATAGGTTATTATAGGTTAGTACAATTTTGCTAATTACCAAACTGTCCTCCACGAGAACACAAGAGTGGGGAGCTAAAATTCCAGTTTGGTTTTTAGGTGTATGTTTTTAAGCAGCAACATTGGGGTTTGAATTAGAAAAAAGAAAAAAAAAGCATATTTATAAATACCAGTAGCAATAAGGATTATAAAAGCAAACAGATGCACTTTCAAATTCAATGCAAAATCTACTTACCAGGTATGGCTGCACCCGTCATCATTTCATTGATGATCAATACGGCTGCCAGTTTGTACTGGTCACTTTCTTGGTACAGCTCCAACATTTGGTCAACTAAGATGTAGATGTTGCCTGGGGAAGTGAATAGAGACACATGCAATCATATTTCACATGTTGCATAAGCTTTGCATTAAAAATAAATTCACAGGCTCATAAAACTGGTCAAATCAAAACTTGAAACTTCATCAAAAAAAATATTTTGTGATTTCTTTAGGAAGTCTTTCGACGTGACAAGTTTCTGCATCACTCAGTATCAACAAACTGTAATGCCATCCAGATGTAGAGATTTCCTGTCAAGGAGGGGGCAGGGGGGGGGGGGGGGTGGCTTTGAAGGTGGCAATAAATGTTTTCAAATCAAAATTTTTTTTTTTTAATTTCTGCATCACTCAGTATCAACAAACTGTAATGCCATCCAGATGTAGAGATTTCCTGTCAAGGAGGGGGCAGGGGGGGGGGGTGTAGCTCTGAAGGTTGCAATAAATGTTTTCAAATCAAAATTTTTTTTTTTTAACACCAGCCTACTCATTCTATCAAATCAAAGGGGGATACATCATTGGGTGGTTCACTGTTAAAACTGAAAAAATTTCATTAAAAAATGTTAGCAACAGCCACAGTGTTATGTAGAAGACGTGTTTACGTCACTTTGCCCATGCCGTGAACTCTGTGTGACCCCAAATTAGGCTGTGTTCGTATTGGGCGTGGCCTGTTGTCTTTGATCTTGTTTACCTCTACCGACTAAAAATAATTAATATTTTCTAATAGAATTTTGTGGAAAGTTTGAGAGTGAACTGGAAAGATAAACAAGGCGTAAGGCGTTTCTAGAAGCGTCGGTTCTGCCGACGCATAGATATAAAAGGGGATTCAGAGAGCATAGAGGGGGATAAGATTTTTACTTCACGAGACAAGAGTGTTATTTTGTGTTTCTTTATGTGAATTCGTATTTCATCATTGTACCTTATTTTTTTTGGCACATTGTATAAACTGTGTACCGGTACAAGACCTACCATACTCTGTAAGTTGATGATTCTTAATAATTTATTTTATTTTGTAACTATATAGATAACTAACTGAATCTTATTAATTGTAATTAGTACTGTTTTGAGTGTCGTATTTTTACTATTGTATTTCTCATATGGTATCCTCCTTTGTTAATCACTGTTTATAACGAGCCATAAACTAAAAATAAGAGATTAATTTCTCACAATAGACAGCAGAGCTTAACAACAGCGATAGCAAGATGTAATGATGACAGGATGTGCCAGTGACAAAATGCAAGGGTGACAAGATGTGTGGATGAAGCAATGAGTTGCATGGAGACTTCATAACATCATTATACAAAAAAATGTGTCATCAAAACTGACTGAGGTATGTTTGAATGCAATTTATAATCACCAAATTTCCCCAGCTGCCGGCAAACATTCATCAATTCAGAAAAAATGGCTTCTTCTCTAAAATGTCTGAAATATTTTCTTGGTCTCCAAATTTTTGTAGAATTTGGTTCAGTAAAAACTTCTGGCTCTGAAACAAAAACCATTTTAGTCTGTTAGCTTCAGTTTGCTTAGTTGATCACTTTTCAAATTATATTATCACAACAACAAAAAAATTCATTTTAGTTAACTAAACTGCAGCTGAGCAAAGCAAAGGTGAAGTAGTTGTTCTATACCAGTGGTTCTCAACCTTCCTCATGCCGCGACCCTTTCATACAGTTCCTCATGTTGTGGCGACCACCAACCACAAAATTATTTTCGTTGCTACTTCATAACTGTAGACCATATGTGTTTTCCGGTGGTCTTTGGCGACCCCTGTGAAAGGGGTCGCGACCCACAGGTTGAGAACCGCTGCTCTCTACCCTTGTTATGGGTCATGTATAGCTCTATTAGAGGTTCTATAGTTAATAGTCTAGAGCTATTTATTACCTGAATGAAGCAGTGATCCCCTCTCCTCCAATATATTCACATTTGTAACATCCAGTTCCAGAATTTGAATCAACACTAAGCAAACCCGCTTGATGTGTGGAGCTGAACTCACAAATCCTGAAATACTGGGGCCTACAGACAAATAAAACAAAGAGATATAGAGTTGGATTGAACAAGCTTTATTTAAATTATCATTTCCACTAAACAGGAAGGATTAGATCCAATTTTATTTATAATTTAAATACAAATATGTGTGAAAACCAGGGTATCCACGTGCTATTTGTTTAAAAAATACCACATCTTAAAACAAACAAAAAAATAACATAAAAATATGGAGTTATTTTTCTTCTCAACATAATATTGTTTTATCATTTTTGTTACTTTGAGTTACACTGAACTTTTTTTTTTCTTTTTTTTTTTTGAACCCAGCAAATCAATGTTCTAAATTAATTTTTAAAATTTCTTATTTATTTTAATAAAGCTTCACCTTACTTGCTGTTCACATCAATAATATGTGTCTATAAATTATAAATTAACTTGAAGCTCCTGTATTATGGCAGAGTTAGCTTTTAGAAATAAAAAATTCACAAACCTAGGAGTGAGATGTACCCAAGCAAGAGTTTGATCAAATGAGGTTTTTTATCTTCATCTGACAAAAAGAGTACACAAAAAATGGTTTTAAAAAATATTCCTGTTAAATTAACATATGGATTACAAATACAAAATAAAAAACAAAACAAACTATCTTCATAGACTTTCTTGAAAAAAATAATTGGTAAAATGCCTGTTCCCTAAGGTAAGTGCAGAAAAATTAACAGAAATTGTTTGAATGGACCACACAATTTTTGTTAAATTTAAAGTGAATAAAACGCACGTACACAGTCCAGGCTTTAAGTTTTTTTGTGTGGATCAACTGTAACATTAAGGCCTTGGAGTCATGTATGGCAAAGCATTGACTGATTTTCAAATTTCCTCAGCACTGTTACAATGAATATTTCACCAGGGAATCTACAATATGCATCATCATGACAGGACATTGTTGGATATTGCTGAATATACAGTTGTTGATTTGTGACAAATTAACTGGGTTTGTGATGTTATTTTTGTCTCTATGTGGCAAACTTGATGGTTTTATTAGTCAGTTTTCTTAAGTCTCTCTAAAAAAAAAAAAAAAGGATTGCCATGAACTTTTTAATTTCTATCCAGGCTCTGATGTTAGTTTTTACAATAAATATACAGTTGTTGATTTGTGACAAATTAACTGGGTTTGTGATTTTATTTTTGTCTCTATGTGGCAAACTTGATGGTTTTATTAGTCAGTTTTCTTAAGTCTCTCTAAAAAAAAAAAAAAGGATTGCCATGAACTTTTTAATTTCTATCCAGGCTCTGATGTTAGTTTTTACAATAAATTGAAGCTTGGCAGGATGCATTTAGTTAACACCTCAAACATTACACAATGAGCTCAACAAACACAAGATTTGATACTTCAGGTGATTTGTATTTAAAGGGATTGAAAATATAGTATTTTTGCCTTTGTGCCCACAGATATTTAAAGCTCCTTCTAGGCCTAGCACCTTATCCGTCCAATACAAGATGTGGACCTACCATAAAACTTCATCTGCCTTGGGAGCACAGTAGCCAAGTCGTATAGATTGTCCTCAAGAATATGCAGCAGAGTTCTCTCCCCTTGAGTGTCTGCCTGAGATGATTTAAATGCCTGAAGGGCAGCAACTGCTTTCTTTGCAACACCTTCATATGAATCATGGATTAGTCCGACTAAAGCTTCCAAAAAGTGTGGAACACAGCAGGAAAGAGAGCTGCCGGGAAACCACAGAAATAAAAAATTGAACCCCCAAATTATTTATAAAAAGGGCTTCTAATAGAGATGTTACATAGTAACATCTTTAAAAAAAAAATGAACCACCCTTGTCTAAGACTGGTGTGTTGCAAACACACAGAAAGGTTCATAGGAGTGTCACAATGTAAAATAGGTGTTTGGGTCACTACATCAAGAAACTAAGAAAGTAAGATAGCCTCTGGATCTAAAAAGCCCTGCTCTTTTAGGTCTAAAATAATAATCTACTTGGATACTATTCATCACTCAAGCAGTATATATTTTTTTTAAATACTTGAATAGTATCATATAATCTTATTAATGAGTTTTAATGTGCCATAAGCAAAGAATAGATTTAAAACTGCTAAATAAATGTTTAACTCCACCAATATCATACAAGTTATATTATTTTTTAAAGAAAGCATTTAAACTACAGATACTTAGGATCGACCCTTTATGGCGAATTCTTTCTCTCAGGCCAAGGACTTAAAGATATAAAAATTCTTTTTTCCCCAATCTGTACGTATTTACCAGCAAGCTCCTCCTGAAGTCACAAATCTTAATGAGAACTAATAAGTTTCTTATATGGCTAAGAGAATTCACTGAATGGCTGTTTTTTTCACTAGTGAAATAATTTAATGTAGATCTCTTGTGTTCAAATTGTTTTATTTATTTGCTGAAAATGTACAATGCAATCAAAAAACATTTCCATTTGTTTGGATCAACAAAAGAATCTTATCTTATCTTTAAAAAAATTAATTAATAAAGTAGATTCAACAATGATCTGGCCCATTTAAGTTCACCTGCTGCATGACATAAGGATGTTCTCAGCAAACTCCACTACAGCCAGTCTCACTCTCCAGTGGCTGTGGGAGGCCAGGTTGCAAAAACTCCTCAGCATTGGACTTGCATTGGTGACCACACGACTGACCCAGGCTTGATTTCTCTCACAGTAGACTTCTTTGAGGGCTTTTGGCAAGTCACCATGGGGCTCTCATTGGAAAAAAGAGAATTAAAAAATTTCAAAATAAAATTTCCAATAAAACAGGTTGAAAGTCAAGCAAGATCTGGGCAACATTCGGTGACTGATAAACAAGGACATTATTTTATAACCTCTGTTCAGTCACAAGCTTTTACATACGCTATAACATGATCAGCTTCAATCACATACTAGATTGGTTTTTTGAGCTGAGTCTCTATTTTTTTCTACCTCTATTGTTTTATCTTGTTTTATCAAGGGGAGAATGCATATAGCTTAAACATCATTATTATTGTCTGGTTCTGTTCTTCAATATAATTTGTTCTGAATATTCTTTCAGGCAAAGTGAGGACAGTCTCTACTATAATATAATATCTCTGATACAAAACACATAATTTTCTATGTATGAATTGACCCCAAATGTCAATGCAAAATTATTTATACTTATGCAAATTAAAAAAAAATTAAAATTTTCAATGTTGTTGTTATAAACCAATGCATCAATGGATTTTTTTGTAATCCAGCAAAATAACTATATAAATTGGAGCTAATTTGGAAAACCTATCCCAGCCAAAAATAGAAGGCAATCTCACTAAAACTTTCCCACTAGTAGAGAAAATAATTTGTTTAAAACGATTCTTCTTATAGAGCAAATTTATGTCTCACTGAAACTGTTCCACTCAAAAAGACACCAATGTCTCACTAGAAAGTAAAAACTTATTATACCTATGCCGTCTGATTTTCTTCTTAGCTGCTGGTCTTGTGAGCATGCAAGCAAACCATCAGACAGTGTCAAAGTTACAAGCTGACTGCACACTGCTAGGGATTTCTTAGGCAGATAAAGAATAAAGAAACAATCATTGCTTTCATATAAAGGATGTTTGAATTTTAAGGCCTTTAAATTAAGTTCTGATCAACAAATTGCTGCAAGCAAATTTGTTTATTGAGTGAAAAATTATTAATTTTATTAATTATTTATTGCTTTTAAGGTAAAAAAAAAAATTTAGAAATTATTTTACATTTAGAAAATCAAATAAAACCAACAAAAAAAAACAATTAAAAAAAAATGTGTATATATTTGGAGACATTAGGATGATGCATCATACATTTTTTGAAGTAAAACTTAAAAAAAAATTAACTGGTTAAAACTTTGAAAATGAGGTAGACTTGTCAAATTTAGCGTGTTTTGACACACCAGCTGAATTAACCAGGTGAGCAATCTCTGCCACTCTGATGCCATTCTTACATTACACACTTTTAACAATATGTAAAAAGTTGTAGGACAAGATATGTTAAGGCTTTAAATCAAAAGACAGGACAATTAAAGGACATTTTGGATAGACGCCTTCTTCAGTAGAAAAAACAAGAAAAATAAAGAATCAGAAACTCAAATTTTGCATCAATGTTAAGTACATTAACACTACCTAAATACAGCTTCCGACAATAAGTCTTTGAAAGCCAAAACATGCTGTGTGATTGTCTTGTCTTTTCATTTCAAGCTGTGAATTCTTGTTCTACTATTTCCTTAAACACGGCTTGAACGCAGTCCCTCATATACCATACTACATTGTGTAACTTGGTTTCACTTTTTTTATTTTCTCACCAAAGAATTACTAAGCCTAGAGTCCACAGTAAATAAAAAGATCATTCTCTTATAACTGGCACTATGATGACACATAAAAATGTATTAGAAATTCATTTTTGCCACTCCACAAGTCCACCCTTAAATTTCGTGTAATCACAAAAGTTGAATGATGAGCTTGACTTACGGCCAGAATTGCCTGCCCTTGGGTTGACACCGAGGAGTTGGCCACCGAGAACATGCAAGAGAAAATCCCAGGAAAGCAGTGGGAGAAGAAATCCCCTAACTGGACGGCATGATTCCTTCCAACTGCAAGAATGAAAGGTCAGTGACATGAATAGCAAAACAAAACAATTTCAAACGACCCAATTCTTGTGACTTAATGGATGAACATTTCTAATACAATAAACTTGTCAGTGGTGGATGTATTTATGTATATGTGATATGCCTCTTCTCATTCAGTAGCACATTAAGGTAAGGAGGGCTCTTGATCGGTTGCTGCTGCCATTATTTTCTAATTTGAGGTCCTGTATGCATTACTGCCGTCAGTTTTTTTAATCCCAAAACAACAGATTAAACCCATTCCAAGTGCTTGTAAAGTTTGTGTCATATGTCTACAATGGATGGGAAGCCCCCAAATATAAGTGTATAAATAAATATATAACAAGTCATGTCATAAAGAAGGCTGGCTATGGTTTATTTTCTTAGTTACAGTAAAATTTAGTAAAGTTACTACACAAAAAAAATATGTGAAGAGGAAAACCTACACTCAGATTCTGTCTGCATGTACAACAGGATGCATTCCAAAGCAAGGATCTTAAGCTGTTTAGACTGGTCTTTATTAATTATATTCAGTAGGTATGTCACTGTTTGAGCTATCATTGGAAGATTTTGGAAGCAGTAAAATTCACTAAGGACTCTGAAATTAAAATTTAAAACAAGTTAAATCCAGTCATCTCGCATAATTTAGCAACTACAAAAGTTACGACCCCCCCCCCCCACTCTTCCCTTTTAATCAGAACAATTGTTTAAAACAATGACAATAATGGGTATAGTTTAAAAAAAAAACCTAAAAAAATTAAAATTTAAAACAAGTTAAACCCAGTCATCTCCCATAATTTAGCAACTACAAAAGTTACGACCCCCCCCCCCACTCTTCCCTTTTAATCAGAACAATTGTTTAAAACAATGACAATAATGGGTATAGTTTAAAAAAAAAAACTAAAAACACAGTTTTTCATATAAATCCTTTACAAAAATGTAATATCGAGCAATGGGGGTGGGGTGGTGCTGAAAATTTGACAAAAAATGCATAAAAGTTATGCACTTGATAAGAATCCCAATTAGTGCCCCCCCTACAAAGGCTTGAAACCGCACATTTTTTTCACGCCCCTCAACTCTATTAATATTATAATGGCCCACCCGCTTTTACACTGCATATTTATTTCACCAACTATTTCTGAAAAACAAAAGAAAATATTACGCACCAAACACACTTGCAATATTTTTTTAAAAAGAATATCATTGAGCGCTGTTATTGTGAATTTTTCTTCAGGTTCTCCATGAAAAACAGGAAAAACTGATTTTTGGGGGTTGGGGCTGAAAATTTGAAAGAATGTTTTGTCATCGGCTATGAGTCTATGTGCCAAGTTGCAGCTCGATAGCTTGATGGGAAGTCAGTCAAATAGCTGTCCGAAGATTTTGCCACCCAGCCACAAACAAAAGCAAAGTTAATATAAAGGATTTAAAAAATGATAAAGATGAGTTCTGTAATGAATAAAAATATAAATATATCCTTTAATATGCTAGTCCCAAGACAGGTCGTTAACCTATGTTCCTATTTTCTATCATTAACACAGTATCGATCTCGCATCATGAACATCTCTTGTACTCAGTATCATCATGTCAACTTATATTATGGATGTCTTCCTGAATTATTAAAGTAAAAGACGGTAGATGAGAAAAGATCTAGGAACATGACTTACTCTTCATTGGCAGCATCCAGGAGACTCATGATGGACTTGATTTTGACAATGTCCCCTTCCTCTGACCCTTGTTTGCACCCTGAAACAAAAGAATTGTGTCAATATTTGAGTCTGCCCTGAGTTCCCTTAACTAAATGTCAAGAATCAACTAAATAAAATTATTTACATTAACAATGTTATTTTGTGTTCCCAAAATGATTTGAAGGCTCAAATATGCCTATATTATTATCATTTATAATTTGATGATTTAAAAAAAAAAAATTAATTAGGAGAATTTAAAAATAATAGAAAAACTGAAATAAAATAATGAAAATCACCTTGACACTATTAAAAGATTTAGTAGACATTTGCAATTTATTTATTTAACAATTACTAGGTTTTTTTAAAAAAAAGACACATTTTTAGTATTAAAAAAAAGTATGGCATAGCACAGCAGAAATCCCCTTCTCTTCAATTTCAACCTCCTCTCATGACTTACCCCAACCCATTTCTCTCTGTCAGACAGACTTACCCCAGCCCATTTCTCTGTCAGACAGACTTACCCCAGCCCATTTCTCTGTCAGGCAGACTTACCCAAACCCATTTTTCTGTCAGACACACTTTAAAAAAATCCAAGTTGCCTAGTTACAGGCAAGTATGAAATCCAGGCATTGTTTAGAATGCCTAGTGATTTCAAAGTTTTAAAGGAAGAAAAAAGCGCCGCCTGGAGCACACCGCCCTCCTCCAATACCATTGTCTCAGAGACTAAATGTCATCCTATAAACTTCAAATTGCCTTCCTGTGGCGTGTAGACCACAAGTTAAGAAACAATGATTTACAGAGCTTTGACTTCATTGAATTGTTTTGTATGTCATTTTTAATGAAAGAGCCTTTGTTCTAACATCCACAGCACTAAGAGCAAATTTTAACAAAATTTTATTAATATATGCCTGATTTCATGGAGCATTCATTAATGTCTTTCATAAAGGTTCTTTAAAGAACTTTTTAGGTTTCCTGTTCTTGCAGTAAAGCTAAAAAGCTAAACAATACCATGAGCTTTTGTCCAATAGGAGATATTTAATATTTGTTGAAATAGAAATGCAAAAATCCTTGCCTAACCCTACTCACGCCCCAATAAAAAAAAAAAAACTCACTTACCTCCATTTCCTGGAGTACTCTTAACAACATCAAACAAGCCCAGGAGTCTGACATGCAGTTCAAAAAAAGTTTTGAAACTTTGAACTCTTGATTTTTTCAGAACTACCCTAAGTGCGTCACATAGGCTAATCATAGAGGCTTCTGACCTGTATCAATCCACAAAGAGTTTGATAATATACATAAATAAATATATCATTAATACATGGCCCTTCCAAATATATGTAAGTATTTATATCAACGTAGAAATATGATATAAGTAATTATCATCATATATTAAAATAAAGGCATATAAAATAATGTTTGTCTTTCCCATTCGAAGATAACCAAAGCTATATTCAACTGTGAGTAAGCAGTTGGCTTGCCACTCCTATATGTGCATTGAAAGCATTCCTGCACATATGACACACATGTTTTAGTCGATTTTGCTTTTCCTTGCTTTCTTTGGGCGTGAGCGGTGTGTTTACTCTCTAAGGATTGTGCCCCAACAGTGATTCTGCCTCGCCAGCTTGTACAATATAGCAAGTGTTTCCCACAAATTCAGGGCAATTAACGATTAAAATAATACAGACTAAATGACTAGCACTTTACAGTTTATTACACTCAATTTGTAGCTGTAATTGAAAAGAAATGTTATTTGTTAATCCTACCTACAAGGTACTGTGCCAGAGCTACTGAAATTAATGCTAAGTCTTAATCCTTTTATCAAGTGTGCTTTCAGTTAAAAAAAAAAAGCTAACATAAATTCCTCATAATCTTGTATGCTGACTTATTTACTAACTGAGCTTACTGCACATCATGCTGGAAAATAATTTTAATGCTAACATTTTTCCAAATCTAAAATCTGAAGCTATTTATTCACATGGATTAAGATTTTTTTCTTTATTACTTCAACTTCAATGGAAAGTTCTAAGTAAGAGACACCCTGATTTTCACTTAATTGCTGAAATGTAAAAAAAATTGTTTTATTTTTGACAGGCTTTTCATAATCCCTTTTTATACGGTATAAATTATTTCAGCTACAGCTACCTACAGAAAAAAATAATTTAATGCTTAAGAAATTACTGAGGATGGCTCTTGGGAAAATTACAATGAAAATGAACTATTTCAATGTTCAGCAAGTTAGCTGAAAATTGTCATAACACTTAAAGCAAAACAATTTTTGAAAATTTTAAAAATAAAATGAATCAAAAAATAAAATCTGTATGTCTTATGAAATGAGTAATTATAATAAAACTTAGCCAACTTGAAAAAAGAATTAGGAAACTATTTTATTAGATTTATACTTTTCATGTTTAAGATGGATAATGTAAAATGACTTCTAATAAAGCAACAGAGGCCTACTCACAACATTTTGTTCTTCAGCCCAGTTTCCAAAGGGTAAATAATATAACTCTGAAGATCTTGAATAATGTTAGTGTCCACCTGGCTAACAGCCAGAATGAAAGCTTTCGCATTCTGCGGAGTTGGATTTTTTAGCAGACCAACTGACACAGGACACAATAGATCAATGGCAGCACATCTCTTCTCTTCAATGTCTTTTGAAGCCATCTGGAATTCTGTTGGTTCACTTATAATTTATGTTAAGCATAAAATACATTTAAAATGTGTCAGTGGGCTATAAAAAAAAATTATATGAATGCATACTAATCTCTTACAATATGGCCTATATCTCATTTGATGTAGGCCTTACGTCTATTGCTAAAATATCATTCAGAACTACTCTAAAAATGCTACTTTGCTGCATTTGAAATTTGGATTATGCTGTATAGACTACTTGGCAGGTATTTTATTTAATATGCGCCTTGCCATTTCTTATATTTGGGGAGAGTGAGCTCCTGTTTACTCAAACACAGAAGATTTCTCTATACTAATAGTCTCTATAATCCAAACCATTTGAAATTGTGATTTAACAGTAAAAAGTTCTTTGTAATAATATTAACAGGCCTCAGGGATCATCCATAAATGAGTCACATATTTTGAACCTGTCCTCCAACATAGTCACAAATTTTTCACACAATATAGTCACCCTCATAATACATCATTATAAATTTGTGACCACCAGACAATCCCTAACATGGAATCCACAGGGAAAAGGAAAGAGAGGAAGGCCAAGGAATACATGAAGACACAAGCTAGAGGCAGACATGCAAAATAAGGGATATACCTGGAAATAACTGGAAAGGAAAGCACAGGACCGTGATGAATGGAAAATTCTCGTGGATGGTCTATGCCCCAGACGGGGTAAAAAGGCATAAGAAGAAGAATCTTATGATTCATGGATAATAATTTAATTTATTTAACCATTTCCAGGTCAAACTTATTTCTTTTCATTGGGAGTTGGTTAAAAGTGTATTTTTAGTGCCAAATTATTTATTGATATTTAACATTTAATATATATATTTAATATTTATTTATATTTAATAAAACAACAGTTATTATATCAAAAGTTATGTCACACCAATCATGCTATTGGAAGTGTTTAAAACTGGATAGATTTCTGAGATGATCTTCAAGAAGGTCAAAAACATATCTCTGTTGTAAAAACTTGTTTATGAATGCATACTCATGAAGATATGAATGGATCAGTAAAACTAAGGGCAAAGTTTACATGTCTTCCATGTTTTCATTGTGAACCTTGCTATCCACAGGAAAAAACGAAGTTCTGTTGATGAACAACAACACATAATTATGACATTGGCCATCTCACAGCTGTGATATTTAAAATGAAAATATTTTGACTCATAAAATTCCACCACAACTGGTTATCAATTATTTTCCATGCCCTATATATAGCATGCCAACAATTACTATCAATTAGGGAAATACTTAAATACGATTTCTTTATTAATTTTAATATGCCTATAGTATTATAATTATACTACTATCAAATTAAACTACCTATAGCCTATGCCTATAGCTACTGCAGGTAGTTTAGGGAAAATTTCAATAGTTAAAATCAAACTCCTAAACTAAAATTAAAAGTTAAAACTTTAGACACTTTAGTAAAACTTTAGCACGCCGGACAAATAGTGTGGGAGATATACGTACGGCGAGCATGTCACGTGACCGCCGGACGACTAGTAGGCGTTATTATTCCGAAGGAAATATCTACTAAGAAGATCTTGTTTGGTCATGTGGTAGTGTGGCCGCTTGACGATATTATATTTGTGGATCGATTCCCCGCATGGGAACCCTTTTTTCCCCCCATTTTAATTAAAAATGTTTTATATTATATTTATATTATCATGTTCATCAGCAACAGTAGTTTTATGAGAAGTTTGAAAATATTTTTAGTAATTTAAACAATTTAAAATGTTTACTTTACAATTTAAAATCTTTTACTTTTATTGGTTGCCTACTCCATACTGAAAACTGGCCCCTAATTATATTATGGGTTGCTGGTACACAAACTCAATTAACAAACTAAACAAAAATTTTTACAAGCCACTTTCACTTCAATTTTTTTTCTATCATTTGCATGCAAGATGTACATTACCTAGGCCTAGGGCTAGGGCTACACGCTACATCGTCATTACTCACTCAGTCTTCTGATGCTGCTTTACTTTAGAGTTTAGTCTTAGACGACATGATCAAGTGGAATTTTCAATTTTGTTAAATGATCGGGTTTTGAGATGTTTGACCAAAGCAAAATTCTTTTTGCATTTACCAATCAACGCATTTGGTTTAATATGTATTTACTTTGGGACTCTACACCATGGGCGCCGCCATGTTTATACAAACGGAGTGGCTACGTTTACGATGACGGTAAAGGAAACACAAAACATTTCACAGGATTAAAACTTAAATTTTTATGCCACTTCATTACGATGCTACATCATCTCATAAGCCAATAACCAAGGCTTGAATTTAAATTTGAAGCACAAAAGCAAAAGCCTACCTTCAGCATCAGAAGGAATATTTTTCATGTTATAAAAAGTGGGCCATTCATAAATAATTACTTAAACAGTATACATGAATCTGGTTATAATTAAATACTTAAATAATTAGTTCCAACTTTTTCATCGTGAATTTTTTCATTTTTTTAAACAACATATGGCCTACATTTTAATTTGGTGTTTAATTAGCCTTTAGGTCTACTTTCTTAAACCTAATACACATAAAAAATGTTTAAAAATTTAAAGAATAATTATATCATGTTGTAGATATGTTTTACTTATAAAGAACTTCGGCCATTTCAAAATGGCAGCACCCTTGAAGTCAGTTCTTTTGATAGCAAAAAATGCCAATCTCTTAAAAAATAATATTGCATTAAGTTGTTTTGCGAGACACATGACATGTCGATCGAAAGGTAATGATTAATCAATCAATCATAATCAATGATGCATTCAATGAATTATTATTTATTATCATTTATGATTTCATTATTTATATTTATTATTATCGAAGTGGTTATTCACAGAGCTGTGCGGATAACGGAACGCCAACGCTCGCCGTTATTCGCAGATTTCGATCTGCCGATAACGCTCGACATTATTCGCAGAATGTGATAAATTAAATTATGAATATAAAATTCAAAGTTCGAATGCAAACATCTCGGTAGTGTAGTGGTCAGTATCTCCGCCTATCACCTGGAAGACATAGTTTCGATTTCCCGTCTGGGAAGCTAATTTTTATAAATAAAATTTAAAAAAAAAATATATTTATTGGTTATTTCGTAGTGTTATATTATAATAATATTCTTCATGATTCATATAGCTTTCTTATTCTGTTCACATAGTTTTATTATTATTTTCATATAGTTTTGTTACTTATGTTACATGTTTCAATCTATTTTGTTTGAATGTTCATTCAAGTTTTGCCAAAAAACTGTAAACAACATGGACATGGACACACAGATGAGCCGTATAAACCATGTTTAAGTCAGATATAGCTGTTCTAACTGTACATTGTGATATACTTTTAGCTCCTTTGAGTGTTTAATTTTCTTTGTATAATTCCACTCATAGACTTTAACATCCATTTGTTTTTTCTCTAATAAACAAATAAATATTAATAACTTACTTATTCAAATATTTTAGATCTCAGAGTTGTGTATTAATTAGATACTTCGATGAAAGAAGGGAGACTACTATTTTTTTTGTATCGGAAATGGGCGTCGGCGCCGAAAAATCCGAGTTTTTAATTTTCCGATGTGTGTGTCTATTTATTATTAAATTAGTTCTTTCCACATATATTTAAGTTCCGTTTCCGGCCTTATAATTTGGAAGACATCTTGGCCTACATTTCTAGCCACCTATTTTGCTTTTTTCAATCGACCTTTATTTTGAAAATCTTTGGTATATATAAGGCATCTTCGCATACAAAATTTTTTGTGAAATAATAAGATAAGGTCCTTTTTGATTAAATCTGTATGAGCATTAGATATTGATCTATATCTGTGCCAAGTTTCATTGATGTAGGTCGTGTCCCACGTTTGTTACACTTGTCACAGTGACCCATATCACCATTAGGTGGCTCAGCCTAATTTCGACATGGCTTGGGCCACGCCCCCTTTTTAATGGCGGAAGTTGCCGATACTTAGGAAATATTTAATTATTACCACTATATACATCAAAATATTTTATATTTTGTGTTTCAGAATGCATTTTGAAGACATTTAAACTGGAAATGTTTTAATTTGAGCTTTAAAAACCCTGCAAGGAAATATTTAATTATTACCACTATATACATCAAAATATTTTATATTTTGTGTTTCAGAATGCATTTTGAAGACATTTAAACTGGAAATGTTTTAATTTGAGCTTTAAAAACCCTGCAGAGTCCATAATATAAATGATCAGAATTTTCCTTGTGCAACACGTTGTCATTGGCAACCATTCACAGCCACTTGCATAATGGCTACGTTGTAGTACTATCTCAGAGTTTCATTCATAAGAGTTTGCTGTGTGCAAAAGCTATTAAACCATTGGTCAGGGAAAGCTTTTATTAATTATTCATGTGCCAAAGTTGAAAGTTTAAAATAAGTCGACCCTAAACAGTATTTTAGTGATAAGGGAATGCATTGCCTTATATAAACTATATAGTCATTGCGCATGACGCGATCAGTGGAATGAGGTCACAGAATGTGGAGATGCAGTCTATGTTAAAAAATGACAAACCAAGTCGTACTTTAAAAATTCATAACTTTAAAACTACAACAGCTAAAAATATGATTTTGGTGTTATAATTATGTTTAAAATTAGCTCTATTCAACTGTGCCATTGGTTTATTTTTAAAAAATGTTTACATTTTTGACCAAAGTATCTATATTAATGTTTAGCTGAAAAAATATGTCACGTTTTATTTGTTTCATTTTATTTTCTAATAAGTATCATAATAAGTAGGGACACAATATGCCGCTCCAGAAATAGTTGAAATAACACTTAGTGATGACAATGAAATGAACATACCGGTACCGTACTTAAAACATATCAATATCATTGACATCAACAATTTTAGCGCTTGTAAAAAAATTTTGATAATTGAAACAAAAAGCCATACTGCCACTGTTGTAACTATGGGTCTAAATACAAAAAAAGCATACAAAAATTAATTGGAACCCTGCTGGTCGTAGGATGCATTGCGAGTCTTTGGGAAGTAAAGTTCCCTTGGGGCAATTGAAGCAGCGTTTACAAGTGTGAGTGTATGGCCAGTGCAATAACCAGCCAGCTTTACTTTTCCCCAGCTAAGGCCAGAGCTGGGTAGACTTAGGGACACCCTCAAGGATCAGGAAAAAATACTAGCCTTAAACAGGATTAGATTCTGTTATTATCGATGTAGGGCCTATATGCCCCTCCCCGTCTCTCACATGGCCGCCTGATGGAGACACCTCTCTGCATCATAACACTGTTGCACGGCATGTCAACTATTTCTGACAGAACATTTCTGGACTACGTGATATATCATAGTGCTTTAAAAAAACTAAACGATATCCTATCAAGCTTTGACATCATTTAAAGATATCTCTACAGTGGGTGAAAGTGAGTCTACATGAAGAATACCGGTACCATTTTATTACTGGTATAACATTTAATATGAAATACCAGAAAATTAGTTATGTCTAGGAGTAGGAGGTTTGACTGGATCTATTAGTAACACTCTATAGGTCGAATAGACCCTATGTTGGCCCCTAACAGAGCAGATGTAGGCACAATTAATGGTCCTATATCCAATATATAGGCTATAGTTAGGCCTATTAAATTTTTTTAATTTAACTTGTGCATACCGGTAGCTTCGGTTTTGAGATGTGTTTGTGCCATTCTCATTAACGATCGATCTATCCTACACTACTTAAAACTATACCCTTACCCCGGCTTGGAATGTGATCCTAATTATTTCTATAAATATGCGTAATTATGGGAACATTTCTGTCTAACAATAACGCTCTGCATTATTCGCAGCTTTCGGCCTGCCGATAACGCTCAACATTATTCACAGAGCTGTGTGGATAACGCTTGTGTTTTTTAAGTTTTATGTACTTTGACAGGAATTTTAAATATTCAAATATTGTCCTATTGCCATGATATTATTTTCAATGAATATGATGATGATCAATGATGGTCTGGTCTGAGAAGTGATGAGAGTGAATGACACTAGTGTTAGTGCTTGGATTTTTTTAAGGGTAGGTGCTATACACAGTTGGCTGGCTGGGAATAACACTCAACATTATTCTCAGCGGACTGTGAATAAATAGTATAATCAGTATAAGTATAATACTGTATAATTCTCAGTGATACCCAGCTGATAATTGCCCAATGGTTTACTGCAGCTAGTAGCTTGAGTGCCTTGAGCTAGCAATTAAAAACGATCTCTGTGCCACGGTTGTGGTTGTGTAGGATTCTCTCCCTTTTGTTGCTCTTCTTGTTGTTACTAGAGGTAACTTCTCCTTAACACGAAGATAGAATGTTTTTTATTAGGCAGTGTCTACACGTCCGGCGACCGGACAAATAGTGCGGGAGATATTCTTCCGGTGGGCATGTCATGTGTCTGCCGGACGACTGAGTATGTGTTATTATTCCGGCAGACATGTCATGTGACAAGAGGTCGCCGGCAAAATTAAAAAAAAAAAAGTCTGTTATCTTGGTTTAACTATCTTATAAAGCTCTACCTAGTTGCCTAAATTTAAAATATTAACCAAACAAAATAAGGCTCAGAAGGGGAAATAAAACAAGTTTATGGTTGAAAGTGATTAAGGTACAGTCACTATTTATTGAGCTTTAATTTTCCAATACCCAGGTATTAAAATATTATAACGACATTTTGTTTCATTTGAGACACAATTTAATTTGAATTAATCTTAATTAACTGTGACTGCCAACTCATACTGTAAAATTAACAAGCAATTTGTGTACTTCAAATTGGTTCGCGCAAAAGTAACAGAAATTACATTTTGAAAAAGTTTTCGGCACAAAGGAAGGTAATTTTGCTCACCCATGTTTTCTATGTTATCAGTGTTAACCTTGTTATCCGTAGGAAAGATAAAGTTCTGTTGATGAAAAATAACATCCAGCATGTACATGATATTGGCCATGTCACTGCTGGCCTCTAACATTTATGATGAAAATACTCATACTCGTCTATTTCTAAAATCTCTTGAAATTGAAAACAGCTGGGATAAACTATTTCTAAGTCTTTCCATAGTCACCAATTGTCTGGTACATGTTGTATCAGACTGCGTTTGATAATTTTAACACATATCGTAATCCATAAAGCAAGGGTTTTATAACTCAGGAGACTATATGTATCAATAGGTTATTCCAACTCATTTCAGAATTTCAAAGTGCGCACACATCAGAAACATTATCAGAAAAGGATCCATTTCCAATATTCTCTGACAAAAAGGTACAGGATCTCTTATACAGAATCACAGGATTTGACCTCCTGAAAGCTGCTGGGCCTCAGAAAAAACCAATACAAGCACCTTCTTATAAATTACTGACTGATGAAGAATTACAAAAGGTTAGAACAAACATACTTTTTAATGAGACATATACATAGTAAAGTAAGGCATCAGAATACATTTTTTTTCTGCTTCTAAGCATGGTTTCAATAATTGTGCAGGTATTCTATAGCAATAGTTTCAGGATTAAAATTAGAAAAAAATTAAATAGAATACCAAGGCAACATACATCATTTTTTAAAATTATGACTTTTTGTAATTTGTAGATAAACAGATTTTGTGATTGTTTATGTGATGACAATAAATTTTATTTTTTACAATAATGCCATTTCAGGAACTCCATGATGCCAGGATGAAATTAAAAGCTAGACTGCAAATGCCCCCATATATGAATCCCCGGAAGCGAAACATAACTCCTTTAAGTATTGATCCTGATCTGGCTAATTTTGACTCATCAAATTATGTATTTGTGGATATATCATTTGGTGTCAAAGATCGAGTAAGCTCAACATTTTTTACAACCAATAAGTTTCTAAACTTTATTATGTGTTGTAAAAGTATTCCAATGAATCAAGCTTAGGAAATTTTATCATAATATGTTTAGGTGAACAATTTATTATCTGGTCTTTCTTATGTCAGTGTGCTAATTTATAAATTTGAATTCTCAATTTAATTATTTCAAAATTATATATATATATTTATCTTCTTTGGCTCTAATGATTGGACATTGTCTGTTGGATACTAGTTTTTAGTATTTGTTGCTCATAATTTGCAAATCAGAGCACCTCTTATTTTCAAAATTCCTAAAGCTATCAACATACAATTCCCTAGGATTAGGAGAGTTATGACACAGCGTTCTGCTGCTCAAATTTAACATTTTAAAGCTTATTTTTTAAACTGTTTTTAAAAGTTGTCGTTGTTTTTTAAACATTTAAAGTTGTTGACTTAAAAATAAACAACAAATAAACTGCTTGTCATCAAGAGATTGGTATTGTTATTTCACTTAGTAAATTAGTATTCCTCATTTCTCTCAGTGGGATTTTTGTGACATTGAATCACCTGTCCCTGCTGCAAGGTATTTAAGTCAACTGGTTCACCTTATTCTTGGACTGCTTTGGTTTTTAGTGAATCTAGATAAATATAAATTAAGCTAAAACCAAATTTTGTTCAATCATTAATTGCTTTATTACATCTTACTCTACAAGAATATTGTTTTGGACTAGAAGTAAGTAAAAACAAATAGCAACTATTTCATTATTTGCCAGAACTATTTTTCAGGGGCCAAGCTTGATATCTGGGAGAGCCCTAATAACACCAGAGGATGTTTCTTCTTCTAACCTTTACATTTAAAAATAGTTAAATGTACCAGTACCGATTCTTTAGGTCTAGTGAATGTTATTGTCGTAAAAAGACTTTGTATTTCTGTTAAAATTTCTATTTTTTGTTGTGTAGAAAAGAAATGTTTTAATCAGAGAAACTGATGGAACATTGAGGATAGCTCCATGGGATGTCAAGGAACGAATGAATCAGATATTCAACCCAAGAGAGGGCAGACATTATATAAAGCCCAAAATCTTTGAGGAGCAAAGATTAGAGGTAAAAAAAAAAGTCTGGAGATAGTTTTCCAGTGATTTCTAGAGCTGTATTTTAAAAATATCCTTATATCTCCTCCGCACAAAGATAGTAAGAGTTGTCAGAATGAATCTTGAAGTAAGTGACTATTGAGCCTGCAGGGCCTTAACCTGGATTATCTGGAGGGACGTCACTCCATTAGCTTTTGACTTTCTCAAGTGATTCATCCTGTTCTAATATCGCAGATTATTTATTGATGCTAAATTTATTACATGAGGACCTAACCAGAATCAGCTCTGCTTTCAGAAGTGTAAATAACACTGAAACTATTAGCTGTGTCATAGCATCCAAATTTTATTTCATACAACAGAAACTTATTGTGGAAAAAAGATTTGTGTACATCCTTGACAGGGCTTGCTGCCAGTTTGAGCCAGATGATCCTGATTTTGTAAGGGTGGGTCAAAAGTATTTGAAACTTCTTCAACTTTTATTAAATAATAATCTACAAGAAATTTTATATTATAATATTAACTTTTGCAAATTTATAATCAGGTCTTAGCCCCAGCCATTTAAAAATGATATTCGTTTTTACAGCTTTCCAATTTTATAGTTACAAAATTTGATTTAGGTGTTTAAAAAAGAAAGTACATACCTGGTAAAATATATTGGAATTCCTCACTATCTGGATACGGGTATTTAATTTGTTTAGTATATCTCCAGACTACCCATCCTGTGTTGTGTACAATAAAATTTCTAAGATATGTAACTAGGCAACCCATCATACAAATAATGCAAATCTATTTCTATGGTACATTTCAAGGCAAACCAATCACTTGTACAATACTATAAAATATTTTTATGATATATCTCCATAATACCCATTATGTATCTTCAGACTACCCACCGAGTGTACAATGCTATCAATAATAATCAAGAGTATGACATCCTGAGATCAACACGCCATTTTGGATCTTTGGCCTTCTACCTAGCCTGGAACCACATTATTGATAATTTATTATTAGATATGATCAACAGAGATTTGTAAGCATCAAAACATAGAACTTTACTTACTCTATTGATTAACCAGTACAGCAATGTTAGAAGGAAATTATGCTTTATCTAGCAGCAACATTTATGAAAAACATAACTTTTAAGCTAGCAACAAAATAACTGGGTATGTTAGGATAATTATAGAATCTATTTTAAGTCTTTCAGTTTATTTCTTCTTGGTTTCAACTATCGGTAATGGTAGCACCCTTTTATACTCAAATTCACACACAATTTTTATTGTCTTTGCTAAATGTAATGCCCACTGGACTTAATGGTAAATTAAAAAACTTTACTAAGAAATTTTTTATTTTATTTTTGAACAATGAACTGTAAAACAAAAATGAATTTTTATTCACAATTGAAGAAAAAAATATATTTCTTTCATAGGTTGTCAGATGCTGTTGATTTGATAAACTTACACTGTATCATTCATCAATCAAGTCCATGCTCTCAAGCCATTAGCCAATTAGAGAGTCCTGACAAAGTAGCAATCATACAGGTACTGTAAATGGTGATTTTAAAAAAATTTCTAATCACTTCATTATGTGTATGTAAACGTTATAGAATAGTATTACATATATTTCAAAAAATTATGAAAAGTTATGTATTGTTTGGGGATTGCATTCAATTGCAAACATTTCTGGTCTTTAGAATGCTACAAAGCTAACATTTCTCACAAATCTTAGTTTAAAGTTTTTTTTTTATATGGATCAAAAATAGATTTTACCAATCAATTTTTTTCTAAATATATGTAGTGAAGATTCAAAACAGAAACTAATTGAAGATTTATGTATAAATAAGAGCTAATTTAAAACTATAAAGAAATGTGTAAAAAAAAAAAAAAAATTCCATTTCTGATTTAATAAATACAGAAAGTTTGTTTATAAATGTTTTCCCTTTGTTAATTCTCTTTTTTTATGAAAAAAAGAAAATAATTGAAAATTTATGTATAAATAAGAGCTAATTTAAAACTATAAAGAAATGTGTAAAAAAAAAAAAAAAATTCCATTTCTGATTTAATAAATACAGAAAGTTTGTTTATAAACGTTTTCCCTTTGTTAATTCTCTTGTTGTATGCTGATCATTATTAGGTGATATTAACATTTTCTTCTTGAATCAATATATGAATTTAATTATTAGCAGAGCCAAAGTTTTTTCTTAATCTAGGGGTGTCTGTTAAAAAGTAACATAAAACCATTCCATATGTGAGTATTTTAAAGTGGTCTGTTTGATTCCTCAGACATACATTAAAACTGAAGCAACCATCAAGCCACAACTGGAACTCTCTCTCCAGGCTTTCCAAGATGCCAGTAAAAACAAAAGGAAAACCAATTAGAAATGTTTTTTTAAAGTTTATTGCACATTTAGACAAAAGCTAATGCCTACAGGAGTTCTGGATTGCATGACAGACATTATACATGAATATTTGTAGAAAGTTGGACAATAGAAAAAAATCTTAGAAACTCAACACTGTGTTGGCATGTAAGGTCTTCAGTTATTAATATTATGAAGTAGTTTCAAGTAATAGCACCTTATTTTGATACACTGCACGCTGTGGGGAGGAATCATTAAATGTATTTTCACTAAACGTGAGCTGTAATACAGAATATCAATCTGGAATGTTGAAGTATTGTACATTACATGAACTTTTTCATACATAAAATATTTAGAAAAAAATAGACCTATTGTCACGAGTATAGAGAAGCTCTTATTAAGCTTTAACATATTAACATACATCAACATATTAACTTTACTTACTTAAAAACACCAAGGTTATGGCCATGAGATTATTTCCTCACTGTTTAAGTTGTAATGACAAAGCATTCTCAAACATTAAAATTTCATTCAAGATATTGCTTGATATTGTTCATCATTTTTACATTAGGACTTTGGAAGTCACTTGTGCTGTGGTAACCTTGCCGGCCTCTTGATTAAGGAGATAGTGGGTTTGAATTTATGCAGGGCAATCCCCAGCTTAATAGCGAGGTAGGGCAGCTAATCTTAGAACTGAGGCAAAAGAACAAAACCTATCAACCACAAGAACTGGATACAGCAGCCAACTTGGCGTGGAATAAAAAATCTGCAGTTGACACAAAAAATTACTCAAATTCTATCAGTTAAGTAGCAGCTGCTCAAACATATCTGGAAGAGTATTTAAAAAAAAGGAAAGAAAGGGCTTTAGAATTTTTCAATGGTTAGAGCTTTTGCCATCTTGAATAATCTGCTAAAATCCACACCCGGGAAATTTATTTGAAAGAAATTTCGTTGACGGTAAATTGATCGACAGAAGTTTGATCGAATAGAAGTTTGGTAGAATTTATTTTCAGTTCACAAATTCAAATTTTGCATCAAATTTCTTTTTGAACGCATTATTTTGTTTTACTATTTATTATAGTGCATTCAAAAAGAAATTAGATGAAAATTTGAACTTGTTAACTGAAAAATAATTCAATCAAATTTCCGTTCGACCAAACTTCCGTCGATGAAATTTCTTTCAAACAAATTTCCAGTAACCGCAAAAATCAGCTTGTCATTGGAAGCTGGCACTTTAGGGACAATTATTTGCTTTTAATTTTAAAAATAATTTACGATATGGGTATATACTGCTTGTAATGAAAAAATATATATTAAACAATGTCATGCAAAGATAGATTACCAGTATGAAAATTAATACTTAATAATACTTAAGGTGTTATCCATAAGTATTTTGCCACATAAACATTTTAAATTTCTTATCAGTTTTAATGTGGTAAAACATTTTTTTTTTACTCCCTTTATAAAAATTGGTCTACCTGAGTATTGCACCCTGTAAAAGTTAGTATGATTCTCATAAATAAAACATTTACATCATATTGCAAGGACAAGAGCCTTTGGCAATTTCAAAAATTTGCATGAAACATGTAACTGCTTTTAAGACAATAATTTTTATTCATTGATAGTGCATCACAATCAAATTGTAGAACACTCTCTCAGTTTTGAACAATCACTAAAAGTAAGGCCTTGTTGCATTTTGGCTTTGTAAAAATGTTATCACAGCAGAAAGAAAAAAAATTGAAACCACACAAACGGAAAGTGAATTTCACTGTAAATTATGATAGATACAAATAGCTAGAAAGTTTTAAAAAAATAATAAAGTAGGCCCTATAAAATAGTTGTATTAAATTTAAAAGTTTTGCTTACAAACTATGACATTTCTCTAATACATAATTAATATGAAAATACAAAAGGATTTGCAGTATTTTGAACACTTTATAGAAACAGTTATTTGGACACTCATCTTATTAATCTTTGCCAAAAAGTCTCAGAAAAAACTGAAACAAGAGAGCAAAGCCTACAAAAATCATCATAAATGGAGCAAGAGCAAATGATTTAAGGGTTGCCAGGTTGCAACCCAACTTGGCAGGCTTCCCATGGATCACCAGAAGATACTGTTCAAACTGTTTCCTAGCTAGTTTATCATTAGGAAATGGATAACTGGCTCCAAGACGAAAAGCAGCAGCCAGCCCAGAGATGATAGCTATTTCATGGGTGTTTATAAGCGTGTATGACCCACAGAACCATGTGTGCTTTTCACCTTGGAGGTAACGCATAAGTGGGACGGTGAACGCAAAATGTCTCCAGGTGTGAGAGAACTGCCGCCACCATCTGGTGAATCTGATCTTACCTTGATTTATCTCATTCATGGTCCAAATGTTCTTGGTGCTGTCATCCAAGAAGATGGTCTGATAGATGTATCTGTCTGTCGACTTGAGCTGGGGTTGATAGTTGGACAGGTTGAAAGACATCTCCAGTTTTGACTGGTCGGTGGGGTCAGTCCTGATGAAGTACTGATCAACATCTTTGTGGAGCTCATAGTGTTTCTCCATGTACTCATCGTCTTCGTGTGTTACAGTCACATCATTATAGTAATGAACATTGCCCAGCGCCTTGCGCTCCAGATAGGTTGGGTCTTTGAGAACCTTTAAAACTGTTTCAGCATCACATGCAAAAATAATTTCATCAAAGACTTTTTCATTGCCTAATGCATCCAACACAAATACCTTATCCTCCTTTCTGATGACAGAGGTCACTTCCCTTCGCAAATCAACGTCAACACCTAACTTGCTGCTGATGGTTTCATACATGTGCTTGAGTGGTGGAAATGCAAACATCTCAGGGGACTGACTCAGGAAACACTCTGAATCGTAATCAAACAATCTGAGATCATCATCTAGGAAAACCCTGGCAACAATAGCTGCTGAGACATTTGGGGTTTGATTTCCTGTGCCAAAAAATAATGCAGTCAGCGGAAAAACCATTTCGTAACAAAACTGTTTTGAGTATCCAAACCACTTGAGAACCTGTGATATGGGAACGAAAATAAAAAAGAACTCAAGTTTATTGATTAGTCGCAGAGTTCCCCCAAACCTTTTTATTTCATCTTTGAGTTTGTCTATCAGTGGCGTTTTGCTGTAATTGGTCCACGCAGTTTGGCCTTTGCCAAATGAGATCATCATGTGTACCGGGGTCGTGGAATATCCAAATTCAGCCATTAGATTCAGTGTGTTTCTGTAAGTGGGGCAGCCTCCCTGAACCCCATCATTCATTATTAAATCTCCAGGCCCTGATGATGAAAAAAAAGAACCCCCAAAAACGTCAGCACATTATTTATTGAATAGAATGTTAAAACTTGGAGGGATATTATTAAAAATAAATAAATAAAAAAGATGCTTTTGCAATTAATGGATCTCTACAACATTAGGGTCGTGTGAGCAAATATGAAGGGTTTTAATAATTTACCCTATGATAGAAACATGTAACCCAGCATACCAATTACTGCATACCTTCAATCTTTTCAGTAGTAGCCACTCCTCCAGCCTGGCCACATTTTTCCCAAACATGGACATCAAATTTTTCAGGCAGTTTACCTAAAGCGTATGCTGCTGCAATCCCAGAAGCACCAGCTCCCACGATAAGAACTTGTTTCCGATTGGTTGGCATATTCTTTAATAACAGTCCTAAGGGGTAGAGTTATTATATAATTGTTTTTTTATACAAAATTTGGTGGGAAAACTCAGATATTGTAACACATTTTATTTAATATTCAGCCCCACCGCACCCTCAAAGATCAGTTTTTCCTGTTTTTCAAGGGGAAGTTAAATGAACCACTTCCATCATCCTATCAAGTTGAAGTTGGCACTTAGACTTATTGCTGATGACAACACATTGAATCAAATTTCAGCCTCCAACCCTCAAAAATCAGGTTTTTTTTTCTGATGATTTGTTCAAATGCTGCATGTTTTGGTGTGGAGATTAGTAGTGTAGCTTATGCAAGGTGCTTTGTATTTAGGATGTATTTGGGTTTAAATATAATTTTAGTCTATTGCGTTTTACATGCACAAAATTGGATGACAAACATTCCCATACAAATTTCAGTTGCCACAATCACATAAATGATAAATCAAGTACAATTTACTACCATAAATGCAAACAAAAATGCAATTTTTTTTAGAGGATGCTTGATTATCAAACTCAAACTGTGGGTGTGAGTCACACTGAGTTGTATGAGTCACTGGGTTGGTCAGCCTTTTGAATTCTAATCTCATGATGGTTAGCAATTAGTTTTTGGAAATCATTTAATTAAATGAATGAAAGGTTATTCAGGCTCAGGCCATAATGATCACTCAGCATGGCTGCCATCAGGAATGCTTTTTAAGTGTCCTAATTACTTAAATAAATTACTATGATGATGCATAACAATGGCGATGAATTTCCGAATAGCTAAGTACTGGGTCACAGTCAAATTGCAGATTGATTGTATGCTGTAGGCTTGTGTTGGATCTAAAAGTTGGTCTGCTCAAACTACAGCGGAATCTCCCTCCTTAATGTAATGAACAAAATCTTCACAAAACTTATAGTAGAAAATTGAAAAAGTATAGTGGACAGATCCTAGGGGACTACCAATGCGGACCCAGGCAGAAAAGGTAGACCATGGATAATATTTTTACTATAAGATGTCTCCTGGAGAAATGTTACGAATATTACATCAACATACACCAACTATACATGGATTTCAAAACAGCATATGATAGCGTAGACAGGGATTACTTATACAAAAACTTGAGTCCCTAACAAGCTTACTCGGCTCATACATATGACGATAGCTAACTCCAAAAGTAGAATCAAGGTGCAGGGAGAATACTCAAGGGAGTTCCCAGTTAATCAGGGCCTCAGACAAGGAGACTCACTATCATGTATCCTGTTTAAAATCACGATAGAAAAAGTTATTAGAAGCATACACGTGAGCACCAGTGGAACTATAACAAGCTACTTCCATAGAGGAATTACAGAACAACAAACACCAGGAACCGTATATAGCCAGCCATTGCAGGACCTGGTATATCAGATGATATATTGCTACTGGGTAGAAACAGTAATAACATAATTATAGCATTCAGGGAACTTCAAAATGCCTCAGTCAAAGCTGGTCTTGATGTAAATGAACCAAAGACAAAGTATATGAAAATGTCACAAAACTCCCATGCTGATTACAGCATCAATATAAACAACCACAAATTTGAGAGAGTGGCTTCATTCAAATATCTAGGGGCAACTATAAACGAGCACAATGAAATAGTGTCGGAGGTGAAAGAAAGGATAACGCAAATAACGGCCTACAAAAGCTACTGGGAAGCAAAAAACTCTCAAGGGGAACAAAGAAAACAATATACACCACTATTATAAGACCAGTAGTAACTTACGCTAGTTAGATTTGGACCCGTTTCCAGAAAAGCAGAGAACCTTCTCAATACATGGGAGAGGAAAATCCTCAGAAAAATATATGGCTCAGTGATGGAAAATGATATCTGGAGAATCCATACAAACCAAGAGGTATACCAATTGTACAAAGACCCATCCATAGTCGCAAAAATAACAAAAGTTAGACTGCGCTTGGCAGGAAATATTGAAAGGATGCCGGAATGTACAGCAGCAAAAGTGATATACAGGTAGAAACCTAGGAGCAGACGACTCAAACGGCTGAGATGGATTGATGATGTAGAGAAGGATTTACACCAGTTGGGGTTCGCGCATGGAGGCGGAAAGCCATGGATCATTCTGAATGGGGAGGATGTGGTGGAGCAGGCCAGGGCCCTACAAGTTACAAGGGCTGTAACCTGTAGCGCCACTGATGATGATGAAGTCTAGTGGCAGTAGAGGTGTCACAGAGTCGAAGTGATTAGACTTAATTAAAGTATATTAATAATATTACTATTATTTATTAATAAGTCATTTAAGTCTAGGTCTAGGTTGCAGAGACTGAGTGAGAACAAGAGAACTAACAGAGAATACCTAACTGATGAGATAGACTATATAGACTAAGACTAAAGTGAAAATTTAGAATGAGGGGAAAAAAAGTAAATGAGATTAAGACTCAAGAGTCACTCAAGACTGATTAGGACAATTAAAAGAGCCAGAATGATCATTAAATTGATCTTGAGCCCTTAATTATACTTAATAATTATATAATAAATTTATATATTATATTATAGTATAGACTGCTATACTATTACTGAGATTTACTGCCAATTAAGTAATTTTAATTTAGTATTTACTAACTTATAACTTATAATTAAGTGAACATAATTTATTGGGCAAAAATGTCAATGAGATTTAACAGGCACTTGAGTTTGATCTGCAGGCGTTCGCTGCAATAGACAATTCTTTTAACTTTTAATATTATCTTACCTTACTAAATTACTTTTTTTGTTCAGCGTTTTAGTTTTAGTTAGGACTAAGGAATGTTGTTATGTAATCACATTTTCTACCACAAGCACAAAAGATTCAATCATGGATCATTCACTACTTACTACTTACTACCTTCTGCCTTCTTTATTGATTAACTCTTAATTTTATCTTCACGGTTTCGTTATATACGTATTTTTTCTAGAGCTTAAAATATAATTGTTAATAATTATGAGGAAATATTTTTAAAATTGTTGTTGATGGAATTATCTCCTTTTCAATTTACAGATTACTTATTGGCAAAATAAAACGCGAAAGTTATTTTAGCCAACAGTAATTTTTAAACTGCTTTAAACTACCGCAGAGCTATAGCCTTACCCACTACCTGTTTTGACAAAATTAGTCATGCTTGTTATTAGACTAGAAGAAGGAAGACAGTTAAAGTGATTTAAATGTTTGGGTAAAACTTCAATGATTTTGTCAAAGACATTTTGATTAATTATTTGCACTTTCTTAAGTGGCTGGCAGTCTTGTTAGCAGTCGACCTTCTCTAACCGGTCAAACGCAGGAGGACCTTGTCTTCTACTTCTGGTTTTATTTGGCGTTCTGGTAGCTTTAAACTTTATTACTCTTATACTCTTATACTATCACCCATCTGTGTGTCGGATTTCCATCCCCCTTTCACCAAAGTTGATGTTGGTTTGCCGGTTTCGCTAACTTTTCTTTTACTATTTACACACCAATCACACCATTTTATTTAACTATACTATAAATTAAATAGGGGCAATTTTGTTTGTATAGTAGTGTATAGTATAGTATAGTATAGCCTATTACTATTATTTAGGCCTAAAAACTAAATAAATGATACATTAAATGACATCCCTCAGAATTACTGTATTAGACTAATAATAATAATTATTGTGTCCTATTTTTACCTGTCCTCCATTATTATTATTATTATTAGTGGTCTTATATAGCACGGTACCCCAGCCTAAGGCTGGGTTCACTGCACTGTACTTAAAAATATTAGCAAAAGTGACATAATCATGACATTAAAATAAAATGCATTTATGAAATAAAGAACAGTGTGTAACCAAAAAACAAAAACAAATGTATATTCACCCACTCACCCCAGAACTTTAACAAGGCAAACAATGAACGGCAGCCAGCAAGATCGTTTATCGGTTAGAGGAGGGGCATCAGTCAGGGTAGTATAGTTTAAAGAGATGTGTTTTGAGTGCAGTTTTGAAGGCCTGGGTGGTTGGTATATTGCGGATGTGTAGTGGCAAAGAATTCCATTGTTTGGAGGCGCAGAAAGAGAAAGATCGTTCACCATATGTTTTAGTGCGTGTCTTGGGAACGGACAGAATACGCGTGTCTGCGGAGGAGCGAAGCTGTCGAAGGGGTGAATAGACAAAAAGAAGTTCGGTTAGATAGGAAGGGCAGGAATCTGAGAAAAAGTTGTGACAGAGAACAGACAGCTTGTAGTCAATGCGTGCCTGTATAGGGAGCCAATGAAGTGAGTGGAGTGACGTGATCACCTTTTTTTTTGCATTTAGAACTAGCCTAGCAGCTGAGTTTTGAACTTTCTGCAGTTTTTCTATGAAGTGTTTTGGTTAACCTGACAGAAGAGAGTTGCAATAGTCAAGATGAGAGAGAACAAGAGCACAGACTAGAGTTTTTGTTGTGGTTTTAGGTAGTAGCGGATAGAGCTGATCTGACAGATAGCGGTGTATGCCGAATGACAAATGTGAGAGATATGTTTATCGAGAGACATGTTCTTAGAAAGAATATAACCAAGATTCCTAGCAGAAGGTGTAAACTGTATGTCGGAGTTACCTACTTGAAATGAGGTGGGAAGAGTTGAGGTAGAGGATGATTTGTGATTGTGAATGAGGAGTGCTTCCGTTTTGTCATCATTAAGCTTCAACTTGCTAAGTGTCATCCATGACTTGACATCGTCAATGCACCCCTGCAAAGTCTGGACAGTTAGGTACCGGTACTCCAACTTAAATTTTCCAATGCCAGTTGGCAGCCAATACTTCAGACATACACAAAAAGCATGACACTAAGATAATCTTTGCATGATTTTTAATTTTTACCATGGTGGCCATCTTGGTTGCCAAGACCTGTGAAAGGACACGGGTCATGGCAACCAAGATGGCGGCCGTGTAAAAAACTCACATCTGCTACTAAAACTATCCCTAAACCAAACCTGAACCCTAAAACTCACTAAACCTAACTAACCTAAACCCTAAAACTAACCTGAAAACTAACCCTAAGTCTAAACCTCAAGTAAAAAACACACGTGCGGCTACACACTATGGCAAGGAAAAATGAAAATGAAGAAAAACAATACAAAATAATTGTAAAATAATGAAAAGCCAACTTACAGTTTCATAAAATACTATACACTTTTAACCACTTTATTTCAGGTTCCACCAAAAAGAAAATCCATAAGTTGTCCCCTCACTATTTAGCTTTGTTATTAATTCTAAAAACTGATCTAAATCATTCATCTTTTACTTTCATGTACCGGTACTATTGTGTTTTTATATTTTTGGCTTTTAAAGTTAGAGCGCTAAAATTTGGCTGAGACATTTGCAATAGAAAGATTGAAAAAACATGGATTGTGAATTAATTTTTGATCATATAAGTATTGCATAAGGTCACAAATTTTATTTGTAAAAAAATTGTAATTTTACAAAAAATTGCATATCCGTTAAACCAATAAAGCTACTGCAATGAAATTTTCAGTACAAACAGATAGTGACAATACAAATGTAATAGAATACTCAAATATTACAAAGAAAATTACAACATATACTCAAAAGGATCACAGCAATTGACCCACTGTTTTCTAAGGCCCGCTGCTTGAGTGTTTGAGTACCTATCACAGTAAATATTTTCATTGCCATGGCAAGGCGAGGTGGGGGGGGCGAGACCACTGTCAAAAACATAAATAACATAGAATATGCAAATTATAACATCAAACATATGAGCTGCGAAAATAAAAATTAAAAACATTAATACGGTATTAATGTCATATTCAAAATTCCCTGTAACTGTAATGATTTGAAATGATCAATCATATTTGAGATATACATAAGCAGACCTGCCAGCCCTTCCGATTTTATCGGAATTATACGGATTTTGTACCCCCCATTCCGACCTTCTGACAAACCCCTTAAAATTCCGATTTTCCGAACATTATAATTTTTCACCAGACATAAAGCGAAAGAAAAAAAAAAAGAAAAAAAAAAAAAAAAAAAAAAAGCGGGTCCGACAGAAAGTCGTGCATTTCGATACTGCCACTTCCTTTGTTTTGATCGAAGCAAACTGCGAATTCCATTCTTCATTCATCAATTAATCAGATCGTGATTTATCCTTAGTTTTACTAGGCTTATAGTTGTGTTGTGACTTTTTTTTGGTGAAAGCTTTACTTTTTAAAAGGATACATTTTTAAAGAGAACTGCTGAAAAAGCTTTTCCAGTGACAGAGGTTGAGATTGATAGTGCTCCTAACGACAAAATGAAACGGCATATTCAACGTTTTCGAAAGGAGTATTCGGAAAAACACTCATTTATTCGGCCATCACCCCCGTGGCGAAACATTTGCATTCTGCAATCTGTGCCAGACCCACTTATCTATTGAAAGTGGGGGGGTACAATGACATTTATTAACATATCTTAACCAAAAAACATACAACTGCAGCTAAAAGCAGTGAATCGACTACATCCATGTCTAATTTTTTTGCCAAGGAATCGGATGATACGTTAGATAAAAAGTGGCACTTTCTGAAAACCTAAAAAAATCCTGTTCCTGATCAAGTAGAATTAAACCATTTATCTACAGCTATGCTTGCTGTGTGCTGCATTCCACACAGCATTGCAGATGGTGAAAGAATTTTTTCCATTGTGAATAAAAATTACAGTGATACAAGGGCAAGCATGAAAGTTGATACTCTTTCTAACTTGCTTGTAACTAAAATCAATTACAATGCTAACCTTCAGTTGTCAAAAGAGCTGTTGGACAAGTGCAAAAAGGCCACTAGGGATATGCTGGAACACTGAACTCTTAGTTAGCAGCCTGTGTACATATGTAATAAAATGGATCTTTTGTACTGTATATATCTGTACATAAACATTTCCAGTAATGTTTTTCTCATGTTTTGCGGACTCTTCAAAGACAATGGAGGTACCTTTATATTTCTTTATTTACTAAAAAAAAAGGGGGGGTGCATTAGTTTACAGATCTTAAACCAACGCGCGCCCCCCCCTGCCCTGGGGGCAGCAGCCCCCTTCCCCCCCACATGCACCGCCCCTACAGATTTTTTTTCTTGGCAGGTCTGCATAAGATATTAATTAAAATATTATGATTTAATATTAGTAATTTCAATTCTGAAAATTAAAATGATTTCTTTACAATGTAAGGAAAGCTGGTTTTGCCATTACTAGGTATTATCTGAATTAAAGTTGAAAGAACCCTCTTATTATTGATGAAAAATTTTAATGTAAAATAATATTTTTTTTTTCTTTGTCAGATGTTTGCAGATGTCAGATGTTACAAATGGGACATTGTAAATTATAAGAGGAGTTTCTTGTGCTACTGCTTTATATTGATACAGATCAGGAATTTTCTCACCAAGTTTAGAAACTACAGATGGACTTCCACTGCCCCATTTGTCAATCGATTCATAATACATTTAAGAGGCTAAAAAAACACATAGCAAGAAGACATTCGGAACATGAAGTTTTTGAATGTCATTTTTGTGAATTCATCACCATGAAGGAAAGGGCTTTGGCTAAGCACAAAGAAAGGTCTCATCCTGATGAAAAATTTTCATGCAATAAATGTGAGTTCTCTTCAACAACATGGAAAAAGATACAGAAGCACTACTCCAATATTCATGCAGCCAAAATAGAAGCCATAGAATTGCGAATGAAACATCGTGAGAAGGAACAGACGCATGAAGTCTTTCAGTGCCTGTTCTGTGACATGTTTTGTTCCAAGAGAAATATTTTACTTCGGCACAAAGTAAGTGAGCACCCACAGGACAACTTCGTTTGTAATCAGTGTGAGTTTTCGTCACAAAAGTGGAACAAAATGAAAGAGCATTTTCTGAGGGTTCATTCAGAAGTTGAGAGTTTACATATACCAATGAGAAAGCTCTTGATTAGTGACAAGCAGAAGCAAAGTACATTTATATGCAATTGTGGAATGATGGCTTTGAATGAAACAATATTTATGGAGCATAAAGAAAAAGTTCATCCTCTTGAAAAACTGATTTGCAGCCTTTGTGAATTTTCAACAAAAAAATTGCAAAAGTTGTGTCAACACATGTCAAACATTCACTCAAAAACCAGCTCCTTTTCTTTTAAGATGGCAGCACCACTCTCAGAAAGCCAGGTAGAGGTGGGATCTGACCCAGAGATCTTTCAAGGAAATGTCTCAGCTCGAAGAAAAAGAAAGTTGGAACCGGACAGCTGTGCTAGGAATGGATCGATAAAGAGATTAAAGGTTTCAGAGTTGCTGGACTATAGTAACAAAGAATCAACTGTCAGTATCATAACAAGCAATGTAAACATTATGGAGAAATCCAAGCCATCACCTCCGGGAGGCACAGGGAATGTATCTATGATAGAGGAGCAAATTTATAATTGTGATACTTGTCCTTTTTCCACCCAAGAAAAAAATTCTTTTTTGTTTCACAAGAAATCCCATATTTCCTCAGGAAGTAAGAGCAAACGTTCTCATGAGTCATTGAATGCTTCTCTTGAGAGCTTTGAAGCACCAGAGGGGCCTGACAGTGATAGCAATGCATCGACTGCACATAATGTGACAAGCAATGTAAACATTCTAAAATCTGGTGCAATGAGTGCACCTAAGACAGAGAACCAACTTTATAATTGTGATAGTGGTGGTTTCTGCACCCCAGAAAACAGATCGCTGTTTGCCCACATGAAGTCACATCTTTCATCAGGTAACAAGGGCAAACACTCTCGGGATCATGTACATGAATCAACTGTTAATATCGTACCGGTAGCAAGTAATGTTAACATCACCGTGAAAACTGAGCTCTCGTCTGCAGAAGGCTCAAGGAATGTAACTAAAGAAAAGTCACACATTTTTAAGTGTGATACTTCTGGTTTCTCTACCCATGAAAAAAAATCCTTGTTGGTCCACAAGAATTCACATCTGTCACTGAAAAGCAAGGGCAAACACTCTCAGGAGTCAATGACAGCATTTTTTGTTTGTCATGAATGTGACAGGATTTTTGATGACATGACGGAGCTAGATTTCCATAAAATTACTCATGACAAACTAAGAACGTTTCAGTGTGAGAAGTGTGACAGAAGTTTTTGCACTATTTGGAATCTTAAACTACACATTAAGAAACATGAAAATGAACTACCATTTGAGTGTCACATTTGTGAATATGCAGCCATGCAACTCATCACTTTAAAGAAACATTTACTTAGACACAGGGAGCTGAAAAACATTGTGTGTCAAGAATGTGGTTACACAGCTAGAGTCAAGGCTCATCTTGTTGTGCACATGCGTAAGCACACTCAGGAAAGACCTTTTGGCTGCCATCAGTGTGGCAGGCGCTTTAATCAGAGAGCCCATTTGAAGAATCACAAAGCACGGAAGCATGGATTTTCCTAGAAATGTGAAAAATATTATTTGGGACTTGTCCATAAATTAGATTGTAAGTAAGTTAATGTGAGTGTGCACTGTGGTTGGGGGGGGGGGGGGTGGGCTCAGTTTTGCACATGTTCATGGGTACTTCAGAATAAAACATTTTTTACAGTAAATTTCACAACTTGAAACACTTAGGATGATATCATTCTTACAAAAAAATTTTTTTTATAACTTTAAAAAAAATAATAGAGTGTGGGAGGGGGGAGATTTAATTTATTTATATACACGGATTAGTGAATTATTTGAAAAATATACAGGGTGGTGGGGGGGTATACATTTTTAAGAAAACAAACCAAGCAAAAAAAACTCCACATCTTAACATCTGATACTGATATATTTTAATTTTTACTCTTTCGCTGCGGAGCATCGCAGATCACGTTCATCCGCTGTTCTCAAAAGCACGGACCAAAGGGCTCTGCGTTGCTTCAATATCATGTTTGTTTTTTAACTATATCCCGGTTAAACTTTTTAAGTAAGACTTTTACATAGAAGAGTGGTACTTCATAGTTTATAAGCAAAACCAACGTTTATTTGTTGCCATTTTAAGCATTAATTGTGTGATTTTTTCGCTATTTTTTTTTTTTTTTTTGCTGTTGCTATGGCTACTCAAGGCCCTACTAGGTGAGTAAGTTTCCTAGAGGATTAACAGCTCAAAAAGCTTTGGAAATATTTTATGCTATTTCTTTTGATACCGTAGTGAAGATGATTTATATATTTAGATCCATTGCATGATTCCGATAGTAGTAGTTTTAGAGGATTTGAGTTATAGAAGTGAAGATGAGGCATGCGGACATCATAGGTTTTGGGGAGAAATGGTCTAGCATGTTTTTTCACATTTTATTGGTTATTTTCTGTAACTTGTTCTATTTAAAGTTAAGAAATAAGTTTACAATTATATTTTATTTGATACCAAGTTTATGATCAATATATATATCAGATGCCAGGATGTGGTCGCCCATCTTTGTTTTTTTTAAAGACTTTTCTGTAATTTTTAAAATCTAAATTTGTTCCTGATGAAAACACACCGATCTCTATGGTATGACTGGATATGGTGATGTTCATCTTTTACATTGCAAATGTATCTTATTTTTAAAGTGTAAACCACACAGTGGTGATTTTGTTGCATGAGTAAACATTCTTATTATTTAAAACGAATTCATGTTTTTATAAATTGAAAATGAAAATAACTTTTTTTATTTTATTTGTATTCATTTATTCAATTTTAATGCCTATTTAATTTAAAACAATATCTTTAAAATACATTTGTGTAAAGGTTGGTGTTTATTGCAATTCATGGGAATTATCAGGTTTTAATTGAAAGAAAATAAAATTGTTTTGAAATCCATAGGTACCGGTATGGCTGTATATAATAAAATATAATGCTGCAATCCCTCGGAAAGTTATTTGTCTTCTTTCATTGTAAATCTCAAGTCATTTGTGGAAATTAGTAAAATAATTGAAATCTATACTAATTATGAAAACGTCGGTCAATGAAAGAATGGATTTTGTTTCTATTTCATTTTGTTTTGTTGCAAGGAGCAGTAAACCTGTCAGCCCCTTGATGTCAAACTCTTACTCTTAACATCAGACGAAGTAAATTGTTGAAAATAAGCAAAAAATGAGTACCGGTAACACATTGTGTATGCCTCATAGTAGTAGCAATAGTAATAGGTAGACATATTTCCAGTCCAACGGTTTGTGTGCCGTGATTAGGCGTCTGGTGTTTGAGGCAAGGTTTCTAAAGGCAGGGACACAAGCCAAACTCAACAATAATGGAGACACTTTTTATTTAGTGCCAGAGTCAGGGATGTCATTTGAGTGGGGCGGGTGGAGGCGCCTCCAGTAATGAACAACGTAACAAGCCGAACAAGTTTTGGTTTTAGCGCCCCCCCCCCCACCCCGAAAAAAAACCACCCTGAAATGACGCCCCTGGCAAGAGTGCTATCTTGGGATCTTCTTACGCGTCCAAGAAAAATAACCCGGGATGTCCTGATTCGGAACGACTGACTCTATCTGCAGTTACGGTTCTTCCCTCTTTGTTTGCCAAGCACCATGCTTCAGCCGAGGCCAAGATATGGAAGTAGGCTACAGTACAGGAACTTTGGCGAAGAAACAAGTTAAGGAACTGTGACAGGTAAGTTTGTTCCTAGTTGGGGACAAGAGTTTCCTTACTTCCAGGACAACATATGCGTCATCAACTTAACAAGGGCCTAGGCTTGAGGGCAAGGGAGGGATTGGATTTGACGTGTAGAGTCACTGTATGGGGTTTTATGTGGACTGGAAGAAATTATATATATATAAAACTTGTATATGTCACATTTTATGTGTAAGCACTATTTTAAACAGTGTCTGCCCACCAACCCGGGGGCCGTTTTTCGCTCGAATGCTAACGCATTGTTTATTAATTAAAGGGACCTATTGTAATTCGACACGAGCTCTTTTGTTTCAAACACGCGAGGCAATAGGAAATGTTTGACGTCATCCTAACCTGGGGAGGTCTAGTTATTTTGAATGACAGATCAGCGGGAACAACTATAGGATTAGAACGTTGGACGGAGACCAGAGGGGGATTTTAAAATATGTCATCCATCAATTATCTGTTCCTATTTTTTTTTCTGGATTGATACGCAGTGGTTTAAGTTTAAAGGAATAGGAGGTGGATGGGTCCTGTCCTTCTTGAACGCGATCGGGGGGGGGGGGGGGGGGG